AGGCGGCGCCCGAGCTTTCATCTCGCCGCACGAGAATGGCCAGGTAAACATTTTCCCCGCGCCGTGATCGTGGGAGCGATGGGCGGCGCATTCAGCGCCGACGAGGCATTTCTGGCGCATTCAGTCGCCGGCCGCGCCGCCCTCGTCGACAAACAACTCGCCCGCGGCCATCGGGAGCCGGAAGCCCGACATAAAGACGGGCAGAGAGCGGCCGGAGCGGCCCGGTGGGAGGGTGGGAGGGAGGTTACGGGACCGGCCGGCCCCTGAGGCGGTCACCGGCCGTACCTACGCTGTGTTCACGGCGGCCGAGGGTCGGTGAGGAATGGCGGTCCGTCGCCCAGGCTAAACAATAAACATGGGCAGGTGGAATTCCAAACTGACCCAGAGTTGACTGACCAGCAGACAAACAGACCAAAACGATTTTTTATGTAAAATGATCCACAATTCACAACCTTTATGGACAGGTAAAACGATGGTCAGTAAACAAATATCTTTATAGAATTACGCCCAGCACCAAAAACATGTCAGTGACGGGACATTTAGTATTGTGATTTGTGCGCATGGAACTAATCGTTCAAAGTCCAACACAGTTGTCTGTCTACAAAAAGTGAGGAAGTAGCCGCACCGGCGAATTGCCGTGGTTGGATCATAAACGAGAGAGCGACATAACCGGAAGGCCTCCGTCCAATCGCAGCACCGTTATTTGGCCGGACACGCACTTACCTGGCCCGGCGGCCCGGGCGAGCGGCTCGGCGGCGGCTCGGTCGAGGCAATCACACACCTCTCAGCCACTGGAACAGCATCAGCGCTCAATGTTCTTCACGTGTGCTTCCTGAGGCGCGCCGAAACGAAATACTGTGTGCGAATTACTGAGTGGAAACCAATAAATGGGCGTCGGTAGGGCGGCTAAACATCACAATATCCGCGCAGTGATAGCCCATCTAAACGACCGGCACAGTGGTGCTATTCATTAGCTACACCGACCAAACGATGGCTTTCATAGACTGGCCAGGTGGCAAGATGTATGAAACAAAACATTAGACGTGTGATTTCTCTCGAAATCTTATGGGGTCTGGGGAAGAGGAAATTTTCCTCTTTCAAGCAAAAAAGCACTCAACACTTTCAGAAACATCGTTTGCAGCTTAATGTTTAACACTGAACTGGAAATATGTGCATACATAACACCCGACACACCAGATAACCTACACCCCGAGGTCATCTTGGGTCATAAAATGTCAGCCCGTAGTTTTTCGGCATTAATTTTTGAAAGGCATGCTAGAGCGATAAAAGTGATCAGATACCTTAGATACCCTGAGGGTACCAAACTTGTACTTTGATTCTCAGGTCAGGGTCAGGTCATCACAGGTCACGGAAATATTATATCATGCGTTGGTCACGTGACACATGTTTTATGGTCCATTTAGGCCATATAACTCGAATTCGATGTCGTTTGTGTCATTGGAGGTCATTTTGAGTTGAATTTAGGTCAGGTCACTTTCAGGTCAAAAAGTCAAATTTTTAAGTTAAAAACTTTTAACAGAAAAGGTGTGTATCGGATGCAGTTTGGGCTCAGGAACACGATGGTGCTAACTGCTATGCATATTGGTGCACGATGTCAAATATGTACTGAAAATTGATTTGAAAATTTTATAACTGTGAATTTTTTACTATAATGCGTATAACTTGGCCATTTTTGAAGATATTTGGCTACAAGTTAAAACTTGCTAGAGTAAATCATAAGCATGTGTTCTGTGATACCACATATATTCCGATTTTTTTCTCGAAAAGTCAAAAAGTTTTTGAAAATAAGATAAAAATGCAACTCTTGAATTTTATTATACATAAGTTTCAAAATTTTCAGAATTTTGAAAATCCGAGATTGCAGTTTGATAGCGCAGTCTATTCTGAGTCCTCTCATGCAAAGAGATTGGATCTAGTCAAAAACTGAGCTCTTGGGAGCGATTGGCGTGGTTCACTGTTTTGCGTCGAAATCGGCCGAACATGACGTCACTCTGACGTCACATTTCCGGCCGACCTATGGTAGGTACGAAGTTTATATTTTGACACAGGTGTCATATTGATGCAGCCGAAGCTACTGAAAGTTTGGCGTCGATGCGTCAAGCGATTTGGAAGCTATTGCAGAAATGACGGGAGGGTGGTATGAATAGCCCCCCTCCCCAGTGGGGCGCTAAAAAATAAATTTTATATGAAAAATACGACATAGTTCAGACTAGACGAAACGTCTACTAGACGTTTAACAGTTTGTTAATCGTCTAGACGTTTGACAAATCAGTTAAACGACATCTGACAATTTTATCTCTTATCACGTGAAGCAATTGTAAACACTGTCTACGGTGCGGGATAACAGGTTGTTAATTGTCTAAACGTTTAACAATTCAGTTAATCGACATCTGATAATTTTCTCTCTTTGCACGTGAAGGAATTGTAAACACTGTCTACAGTGCAGGATACCTAATATATATTAAACCGCGAGTAGGTAGAACTCAACAAATCTCGAGCCGATGGCGGGACGTTTAAAAGATTTTTTTCAACCTACTAGCGGTTTAATAATTGTATCCCGGTACCGCCGATATGTTTCGGGCGCTTAAAGGTAAAAAATACATGCCACTATATATATAATATATATATATATATATATATATATATATATATATATATATATATATATATATATATATATACATATATATATATATACATATATATATTTATATATAAAACACATGCCGATAGTCTGCCGACATAATTCAGACTAGACGAAATGTCTACTAGACGTTTAACAGTTTGTTAATCGTCTAGACGTTTAACATATCAGTTAAATGGCATCTGATAATTTTATCTCTTATCACGTGAAGCAATTGTAAGCACTGTCTTTGGTGCGGGATAAGTAGCAATTATCATTATGCTCTAATTTTAGAAGCTATGCAGGTACGTGCTGTGAACCAATAAGTTGAAGAGCGGGAACATTTCGCCGTCGATTATTCCTCTTGACCTGATCCTTGCCCTGGCCCCTGGCCTTCAGCATCAACGAAGCCCTTTTAACCCGGCAGTTGCTGGGGTATTTCGCCACCCACCGTTTGCTGGGGGGGGGGGCGTTAAACGCCCCCAGCCGATAACTCGAGAACCAATAGGCGCAGCGAAACGCACGGGGCGGCAAACGAAAAAACGCGACGAGACGCTTCAGATGAGTACTTTAAAGTTGAATTTCGAGGTCACAGGTTAGGTCAAGGTCAGGTCAAACACCTGAAATCGGGCTTTCAGTAGCATGGACTTCAGGACTTCGCAATGGGCGCCTCTCGTCATAAACTCTGTCAAAACGGTGCACAATCCATCATATAAGGCCTACAAGAGTGTCAGCTTCATGCAGGGGTCAGTCAAGTATAGGTCAGGGTCAAGGTCAGGTCAACCGGGCAGGCACATATCCCCGAAAATAAAAACTGATATACGCAGCCTGTGACACATGTTTTATGGGTAATTTGGGGCGTAGAACACGATGGTGACATTCATTTTATCATATGTGTACGTGTTTGGCTAAAAAGTTCAATTTAAGAAATTAATGTATCATGGTCGTGAAGTAGTCACGAGAAATTGCCAAGATTCAGTTCAAGATTTTGGAAAATGCGGATCCATAATCAATAATCGAAGATAGCCATTTGATTGTTCATGGTATTGGCAGTCTAATGGCGTTTACGGCATGTCTATATGTCTATTCTGTGATTTTATATGATTTTTTGAACATATGCCGTTTTTGGTCGAAAACTCAGAAATCATGACGTCACTAAAACCTCGATATCTCAAAAATTTTCCGACCGATTTTTTTGAAACTTTGTCACAATAAACTTCAATCAATTCCCTAAAGGTACCCAAAATTTGGCGCGCCTGCGGCGCGCCGTTTTTATGCTATGGCCCGGAGAAAAAAGTGGGGGCGTTTAACGCCCCCCCCCCAGCAACTCGCGGGTTAAATAGTTATTTTTGACATCGTTCGAGCACCGCTTACCGCTTGTCCCTGAACCATTAAACGGGCAGCTTTCCAAATTCACTGACCGCTTCGGGGGTTAGGAACTTACCATGGGAATCATGCTCCCTTTCCCACAAGATCCATGCTCCCCTAAGAGAGGCTAATTTTAATATTACGCCCAAGATTACGCCTATGACATTGCACTGTAGAAAGAAATGAACGACCCACTATGGGATCTAACTTTGGAGGATCCCTCTCAGCTTTTACTTTTTAGCACCGGTTGGGGCTTTGCCCACCGAGCATCGGTTGCCGGTACAACCTATATGAGCCTTCGCCCATCAACTTTTGATGCCGGTCACGGGAAAACACTTATCGTCAATAAGGAAGCCACATTCAAGTCAAACATAGACAAATGCATCCTTGAGCTAACTGGGGCGTGTGTGCGCCTGGTAGCATTACGCCACCGAAGCGGAGCGTGAGGGTAGCGCCATCTAGTCTGGCATTATCAAATAGAAGAGCGACACCTACAGAACTTCACTTGTGCTGCATCGCTGCTGTAAGATGCTGGCCAAGACAATCAACTAGCAATTCATGGCAATTTATGATTTCTTTCCGATGAATACTCACCCTGATAAATGACTGAATAGATAAAATCTCACACATTCTTATTTTCTCAGCGCTGGGACCTAAATTTCAAACATTAGCTGCAGTGGCCGTTTTTGATAAAATTGAAATATAAAATTCCTCAGCTAGAAATTCCTTTGTTAACGTATCATGCCATTCGAATAACTTGCACTTACATTTCAAAACTTTTTAAATTGTTGTTATTTAGTAGCTTAATAAAAAGATCTCATAGTTCATACATAGCACCGCATGGCACGTAACAATCACGCAATCATTCCTCGCAGTTTTAATTTGCTTGTGCTCACTGCGCCACTATTTGAAACTAGAGCTCCGATAGTTGTCTTTTTCCAAGGTCACTCGTGTTTGTACCAAGTTTGTGCACTGGGAAAAAAGAAAATCTCCACCTTCAGCAACATTTCGGCTGAGACCGTGTTTGTGAATTGTGGGTTCATTTTGGGTTCATTGAAGGAATGCCGGGCTCTTATAGAAAGCACCGATAATATTCTAACCGTGCTGCTGACTCGGACTCAACACAAATTTGGGTTCGAGTTGAAGACAGAGCTGAAGGGAAGCTGCAGAGTTTCTGATTTTATAGCTTCATAACGGGTTAGTTATTGCTTTGGGACTCATTTGCCTCACTCTTGAGTTAATATTCGTTTAAACCCACAACTGAATTAAAAATGTGGATTTCATGATTTGCTATTGTCATTCCAATTCTAATTCTTTGAAGATTCTTTCTAATTCGAGAATTCAATTGAACTGATTCCCTGATTTCAATTTCTAAACTGTTAATCGAGGATTCATTTAGAAAATACAAGGATACATAACTACCTAATTGTTAGATCTGGTCACTTCTCACATTCCTTTGAAATCTAAGTAGCAAAGAATGAGTTATAATCACTTAAATCATTGACAATCAGAAAGGGTGGCTGAAGACTGAGGCAGGAGGTGTAGCAATGGCAGGTTTTTTTTTGTTTTTTTGCTCTGATGATTATCATTGATAAAATCTCTCCTATCCTTCTTTTCTACTCATTTTGTGTTTAAATTTGAATAAATGAGGATGTTTGTGTCTTTAAATATTTTAAAAAGTGAATAATTTGGATTTGGACATCTGAGGCTAAATTCTAAAATGATTTCAAATGCATCATAAGTATTCAAAGCAATGTTGTTTTTCATGAGGTGACTGAGCTAGTGTTACTCACTTCCATTGGTCTATGACTGTAGATGCACCCTTCCAATTTTAGTACATGGACTGTGCGTAAATGCATGCAATTTGCTTAGGATTTGGTGTAATAGTTCTTACAAATACTGACAGTCTATATTTTGGCCTGTCTTGTTATCTGGGTCGCCCATTTGTCTTTCTCACAGCCAGCCACTGTCAAACAGCAGCAATGCCCAGGTCAGAGCTGTTCAGGGAGCAGCGTACTTCCCTCCAACCAGTGCCAGAAGGTCGTTCTGCAGCTTAACTTGCCCATGTCTTCTGGTCTGGCACAGCCTTTTTAGGCATGCACCCCCTTGTTCCTCCAATTTGGTCTCTATGGGTGGTGCACTGTGGTTGGGTTGCTGTTCATGCAACCCCAGAAAAGGTTTTGGTGATGCTGTTGTTGCTTTCACACATGCCCAGTGCCCTGTAGTGGCGCATGGATTCTCCATTTGAACACTGGCAATGCAGAAACAATAGAATCCAGCTCCAGGCTTTCAAGAGCAATGTGTCAACCCTGTTGGGCCAGAAATTTCTGCAGAAAGGTTTACGATGTTGGAAAGGAAAGATCATAAAAAAGAGAGAATGAAGTCAATGTTTTTTCTGGAAAGTTTGCCAAAAAAACTGCTATAATTTTATATTTATTGATGTACATCGTGTGAACGCACATTGCATTGCAAGCGAAATGCAGACCATCAGTTATAAGGGATGCAAAACCAGGGGCGGTGGATTCGGGGGGGCAGGGGGGGGGGCAGCTGCCCCCTGGCAAACTCGTGGGGGCAAAAAGTATCTTTTTGCCCCCCCATAATTTGTGACAAAACTTAGTCAAGAAACACATACCTGATTCGTCTGTCGATCATCTGAAGATTAACCAGATGCCCATATACTTTATCATACGTTGCCTTCTTAAATGACAATGTTCGCGTTCAATTCAAGTTTTCCTCTCTTCAACCTAGTTTTGGAGACATTATAAGCGTCAACGTGACGCAGCGGTAGTGATGTCAATTCAGAAAACATATGTCCAATGTCTGTCCAATGTCCAATACTTACGTCGACCGTCCGTCCAAAAATGTCCAACCCGCATTTGTCCAAAGATGTCCGACATCTACGCATAGTTTCACTCAACACCGTTATTTAATTGCTTTTATGTATCGTTACCAGCTCAAAAGTGGTAATCATATCGAAAGCTAAGCTTTCTACGTGGGGTGAATGAAAAGTTTTGAGCCTAACCACAGTTACAGGTGACGCAGGTAATGAAAATTTGGTCACACATTTTGCAACTATTTTTAGATGTGTACACCAAGTTTTGAAGTACTAGTCCTTTTCGTTTCGTTTTTAGAGCCCGTTAAAGTGAAGAAGATTACGCGTTCGGTGAAAAGGGAGAAATCGAGAACTGAACTGTTATAAAGTTTGCGATTTCAAAGCCATGCCTTCATCTGAAATTAAAAAGGACCTGAAATTAAACTTTTGGTTGTGGCCCTCATATGTCACTGTTAAGTTTGAGCTGCTAATTTCAAGCAGGGCAGGAACGCGTCCAAAATGAACAAATCTCAAAACGCCGTAAATGTGACAAAATCCGAAAACATTGACCCTGCTCTAGGGTGTGGATGCTGGATCCAAGACTGTGAGCATCATATAGCGGTAAGAATGGACATCTCGCAGGACCAAGCTGGCGACATTCTTACCAATGGGCATGACATGAGAAAGGTCTCTGCTCATTGGGCCTCTCGGCTTTTGCTGCAGAGCACGACGAGAGATGTGTAATGACATTTGGAGCTAGTTGAAGCAGATTCTGAGAATTCAAAGTCACTTTTCGCTACACATGATCATGATTAACCCTCTTAGCGGCAGGGGGGGGGGGGGTTGTTTTCATCCACCCCTCATTTTTTTTTCGGGAATATCTCCGAAACCGCTGAAGCTACGATGCTGAAATTTTCTGACTTTTCCTAAAAAAATTGGGCACGTTCCCTGAAAATTTCAGTTCATAACTTAACCAGGGGCGGCTCCAAGCACTGGGAATTGGGGGCTATTTCGTGAAGCGAGTCATTTGGGCGAAGATCACGATGCTGATGTATTATAACTGTATGCACCAGTTTACGAACAGTGAATGAAAGGTATCATGTGATAACATATACAAAGTTTGTGCATCCTCTTTTGACACGTTTTTGCTATAATAGGCGGATCCAGGCGTCCAAAAAGGGGGGTTATGTTTTACCCCCAACATAGATGCCCTGACACGCCTATGCATGACCCAATACAATTGTAGTCGTTCTCTCACAAGAAAATTTGTAACATAACAAGACCATACCACCCTTTTTAGAAACAGTACCAACAAAAACCTTATTTACTATACTTTTTGTGTACCCCCAATCTCAATGATCTGTATCCGCCTATGATTTTTGAAAATGCATATTTTTAGGATCCATGTGAATTCCTGGTTCATTCTCTATCGATCGGCAAAAGTTGCGTTAAGATTGGTTCAGAAACCTGGCCGTGATAAACAGTCTAAAATGTATCTGCAATTTGCCCGTTTTTACCCCCCTCTACCCCCCTATTGACATTTTTAATTTTTATTTTTTAGAAATGTAGATCACGTTGAGCGAAATCGAATGCCGTTTGAATTTTGAAAATCGGCCCGTTAGATCTCGAGATATCAAGGGGGGGTCGTAAACAGCCCCCCCCCCTGCCACTAATAGGGGTAGCCAGGAGCCTGCCACTAATAGGGTTAACTGTGGGTGTTTCACTTCAATCCAGCATGGGAAGAACAGTGGAGTCAGTGAAAGAACGTCTCTACTCTAATCTGAAAAATTAAATGTCAGAGTCACAACAAGGAGGAAAGTGTTCCGTAATTCGGAAAATAAATGAGATGCCTTGCAAGTGTACTTTTTCAAAGGGTCTTACTGTAATTGGGCATTACTAGGATGAACCACTGATACACCTTTGTTAGAAAATCAGGAAGATCAGAAGGGCAATCCTGACAAAATTGGTCGTGTTTCACCAGGACAATAAATCAGGGTATTTTTCACTGGTTGCAATGTAAACAATCAATTACTGAGCCTTCCAAAGTATCCCAAATTTAAATCTTTTAAACAGCATTGGCATCCTTAGGGTGTCTATTTCTGTCTAAACTTAAAGAAAAAACTTACTGGATGACGCTTCACAAAAAATAATGACGTCATTGACACCGCGAGCACTTACCCAAAATAGCATGATTCAAGGCGCTATAAAAGTGAGGAAAAAAGTGCTAGGACTTCACAATTTTGTGTCCATTCATATCAATAGTGGCAAAATGTGTGACCAAAGTTTCATTAATCTGCGTCACCTGTAACTATGTTAGGCTCAAAACTTTTCATTCACCCTACGTAATAGCTAATCAATGTTAAATACGATTTCTTTATAAAAATGTTGAGGTGTAGCAAGCGATTGTCCAAAGCTGTCCAAAGCCTGCTGTCATTGTCCAACCGAATTCCGAATTGGACATTGGACAAAATCGGAGTTCCGAAGATTCAAGTTCCGATTGACACCACTACAGCGGCAACCCAGGCCTTCAGTGACCGCTTACAGGGGCGACGGATACGGAGCGGCAGAGGAGGCATCGTTCTCTAAGAAACTTCTGGAGGAGGGACAAACGTATATTCTTGCCCCTTCATAATTTGTGCCCTAAACATGAGGAAAATTTCCATAGCCTGATATTGCAGGCTGCAGCTATGCGCTCCTACAGTTTGTCCAACGGTGCCTTTTGAATATGTGTAAATGCTAACCATTTCCGCTTTATAGCATTTTTTGTCTTTTCAGATTCGATTTAGAGATATTTTAAGTGTGCAAGAGACGCAACTCACACCATCAGTGGTCGTTTGCCGCTATTTTGTACCTACATGAATGCCAAATCGCAAGCGAGCGGAGACGGAAGGGCTAGCCATTCGCTTGCGGGTAGTTAGGACTGATGAGCGCTCGTAATGAGCCACTCCCCTGATTTTTTTTCGAGCGCAACAGTTTCCAGTGCAAGTAAAATGGTAAACGCCGAGGTCGTACACATGGACCACATTGACCACGGTATGACACCCAAAGGCCAGTCATCAGAGATCTGCTTTGGGCATTCGGAGCCTTGTGTGGGGCCAGTGTAAAAACTGGATGTTCACAGTTCAGTATCCGCTTTATTTCAGTATTCACTATTAAATAAGTAAAAAATTAACGTTGGAAACTTTTGAAGGTTAGGGCACTGATCATTAGTGGGGTCCCCTCTGGCTAAAGGCTGGCTATAGAATACAGAGCATCGAACACGAAAGCAAAATCTTTTTAAAGGAAGGTTAAACGGAAATCGAACGTAAAATGAACAGAGGGAATGGTAACGAGTTACCTCATTGAAGAATAGCGCTCGCCTTCTTCAAAAGGTTTGGCACCGTTCTTCAAATCTGATTTGCGATCGGGTTATGGGCTATGGCACAATTTTTCCCATTGGAGCTTTTTTCTAATACAGCAATACGAAAATCGTTACATCGTCCACTGGCAGATCCAGGGAGCGGCTATATAAAGCAAAAATTTACTCCCCCTCCCCTTGCATCGCCCGAAATAGACAAAACGTACCTTGTTTCCTAATAATACAACTTTTATCAGAATGTTTTTTGCTTTATACTGTTCAGCAGTAGGTCCGTAAGGAATCGAAATCCGAGGAGTTTCTGGATTTTGGACACTTGGGGGGGGGGGGTATGTCCCCTACAGCGTCGAAAACGCCTTTCTGGATCCGCCTATGACATCATCTCGACTGGGATCTTGCCCCCCCACGCCAAAATCGAATCCGCCGCCACTGTGCAAACTCAAAATTATCAGTTATTATGAGAAGTCATGCTAGCAACTCAGATTGCTCACGCACACGCTCGAGTGACGAGAGGTCATTTTCCCACAATGTTGACGACCCGGTATCGACAGGCCACCAATCGACCTCATTGGCACAGACTGGGACACAGCTCGCCACTCGACGAGCTGTGGTTCTGATCTCGTATCCGTCGTCCTCGCCTGTAGAAGTAGTGCCAACTGCCAGAGTGGTCCTCGAGATTGTCGTAGAACGCTCCCAATCAGCTCAGCAGACCCTGCTTTCTTCATGAGCGTATATACATCTTCACCCTAGAACCCGGTGCCAGAACTGTCCGCTTATTCAGACGGTATTTCCTATTGCAGCGACTGACTCGGACTGAGTCAAAATGACGCTAGCCTCCGGCGACCCCGACTCCATTGAGCCGACCTTTCGAACAGGTTTGCCGGGATGCTGCCTGCCCTAGTCGTTTGTTTAGTGACATGGCTGTCTATTCGGATGACTTATATGATGTGACTAATTGGTATTGTAGCCTTTAGACTCTTAGTTAGGTGCTGAATTATAAAGTATGGTGTTTGGTGGGCATGGCATGTGCTGGTCTAATGCCTTACGGTGGTGTAATATGGGCTGAGTCGGTAAAGCTGATTTTCATTGTGTGTGTTTCAAGGCCAATTTCAGCCCGACTTTTTACGAGGAAAAATTATGTTGGTTTAGTGTTTGCGTTTGCATCACACATTTCATTTCCATTAGGTTCTTTGTAGGACCTTTTTTTTAGGCTACCATCAAACAGTTTGTTTGATGCATTTAAGAAGTTGGCAAATAGTCGAGCCTAGCGATAGACTCGCAACAAGCTCATAAACTGGATCAACTTTCCACTTTTCTTAACTTCGATATTTCGAAGCATAGCTGCATGTCATTGAGACTACGCTCTGATACTGGAGCTGTTTATGCTTTTAACAAAGAACGTTGACCGGGTCATGTACCCGATTGCATGTTGCAACTCGTTCTGCCTTGCATGACGTGACAATGGCATAATCCTTGTGAAATCTGTATTCTTGTCATGTTTTAATCCGATGTAACTTGTTGGTGCCACAAATTGTCTGTTTTATCTCATATAACGGAGTGAGTTGAAAGACAGTTTATGTTCGTTATGTGGCCGTATGCCCGAACGTTTCATATGCATCCCCGAACAATTAAACTCGTGTTGTGGAAGTCTCGAAAAAAGTATTTTACCGTTTTTGTGGCCAGCGCTTCATCTTGAGCGCTTCAACCTTTCGCTTTTCTTCTTGAAACGAATTATCACTCAATGATTTAATGCACGTTTTATGCACTTCTAACGAATGTTTATTTGCTCCATCATCCATTTAATAAACTCGCTCGGCGTCCCACTTCACGCTGTACTCAGTGAGGACCTTATGTAATCTCTTCTGTGATGTCACTGACGTGTGGAGCGAATGCCGTAAGCCGTTCCGGTATCTTTATTTGCCGGGATTATCTCTCATATTTGGCACACTTTGGTCCTGTTTATTCGGACGGGTTTGTAGGACAGTGCAGCTGACCCACCGGACCGGTATCTCACGGTGACCCAGTCTTTGTGAGGGGGGGAGGGGGTGGCTAAATACGGCCAGTCCCGGCTGGGAGGCGGGCCGGCCGGGCCTTCTGTCGGGTCTGGGCCGTGGGTCGGTCAGTGTCCAGGGAACCGGACGCGCCGGTCCGGTCCGGCCGGCCGGCCGCCGGTATCGGCCGGGGCGATGGCCGCTGTGGGTGTCGGCTGTCGCTCCACCGGGTCTGGTAGACCGTGAGCTGCATACCACGGCACTGTTTGAAAAGGGAGTCTGGGTTTGAATGGTATCCTCTCGACTCTCGAGGTCCAGTTTCCTGGGTCAATATCGGGATGTAATGTGTATGACTTGACTGTTTGGAAGCCCGAATTTGGATGGACTGCCAAGGAGAAGTTATTTTTCTTTTTGTAGATTGGAATGTGCTATTTTCGTACCAGGATGGTGGTATGTAAGGCCTCTTCTTAAGGAATTGGGATCGACCGGCTCGAGCTTCGTGAAGTATTTAAGGATGGTTACCGTCAGAGTTCAAGGCAAGCCATTGTGCATATATAGTCGCGTATTCGATTGGAAAAAAAATTTAGACGGTGTTTGAGTTACCTGCACCGTGTGCAAAATTACTTTCCTATTGGCCATTACACATTTTACAATTAATTGTCCACGACTGCCTTTTTTAAAAGGTCATGTTTGGGTGCTTTGTTAGTTTTTTTTTACACTTTTTCCGAAGAAAGTTTTTGTGGTTATTCGTATATTTGATGCCGCATTTATTGGTTACCAATTACCCTTGGTGTGTCCATACATGGATTTATTTGATTAAAGGGTAAAAACAAATTTGCTCGATTTGTTTTACTCTTGTGTGTGGCAACCTTGCCGTGCTGACCTTGCGACTCGCATACTCTCCTCACTATATGTATCGACCGCTTACCCTCCCCTTCACCGTCCTGCCCTCTGTTCCGGCTGGCGCCGCCCCAAACCGACTCTGACCCACCGCCGTCACGCCGTGGGCGTGTGATGTCGCGGTGCTCCCCCGGCCCGTCCCTCCGGCTGTGACGTTGCTCAGGGCGGGGGCGGGGGCGGCCGAATGCGTCATCGGCCGACGGCCGGCGCCGGCGCCGTACGCCGTACGCCGCGGTCGCTCAGTCTGACGTTGGACGCCGGCCGGGCGAGTGTACGGTGACTGAGACCTGGCCGAGTTGAGCGCTCTGTGTGGAGAGAAGAGGTGATCAGTGACCAGTGCAAGAGCGGACACCAGATTGGTGAAGGTTGAACGAGGTGAGTTGATACTGGGGGGTGAAAATGATGAAGCGTGAGCCGCATGCAGCAGGACGTCGTGCACAGCACAACGTAGTTGTTTGTATAATACGATATACTGTTAATTGTACTAATTTGTGCTGGGTATGACATGCATTATGTGGCGTATGCATATAATGCAGCTCATTTGAAATAGCTCCTTTGATACGCTTTATATTCGGTGATAGCTGCCCCACCGTTTTTCCTACATGATAAGTAAGATGATTTTACTCTGCTATGGTTGTGATGTTATATAAAGTGGAATTCCCTGGATACGTTGCACGAAACATCGCTTTATCACTACTGTATTTCAGCATCTAAGACCCGGATCCCGGTCCCTATCTGTGCGTGTCCGTCGCCGCCGACGGCCTCTGCCTTCAGAGCGAGATGACGTAATCATTCTCGGTCCTTCTTTCCTTGTTAGTATTCTGAGCTGTTTATAGGTTATATAACTCATTGTTCAGAAGCCTGTTCAGATCTGTTACATAATTTTCGTTTTCATATTCGTCTGCGACATTTATTAGATTTATTGGAGTCCGTATAATGTAACTGCGCACCGCTTCAGCCGTTGCGTTGTAGCTGTAATATAGAGACAAGCCTCCTTTCAAAAATCCCGTTAGCTCTCTGCGTTTGGCCCAGTGCCTGGCAGCACAGTTTGGCCCCCGAGCCTCCCTCGGTGTGATGACAGGCGTCAGTGCGGTCCTTGCGTCACCTCACGCCACTGCGGCGGTCGCCGGGGCCCCCGGGCGGGCGTACTGGGGTGGGCCGGGGTGGTCTGGTGCGGGGCGCCCCCGCCCCACCCCGGCGCCGGCCCCTGGCGGCTGCAGGGTGCAGAGTGCAGAGGCCCTGTGCCGGCACGCTCTGCTCCAGCACCCGGTCCCGCCGCCCGGCCGGCGCCGCTCACGTACTGGTGACAGGCGGACCGAGCGAGCCGACCCGTCAGCTGACGGCGGAGCCTCGGCCGCCGCGGTTGCGCTATCTAATCGGGACGGGACGGGCTTTGTGTCCGTCACCACCCGCGCGGCCCATCCCGGAAGGCTGCCTCCGCGGCTAGCGCAACCCACCCAGCCGGAGTTGCCCAAAAACCCGGTGTCGCCAGCGAAATGATTTTTGTGCTGGACTCGAGAGGATGACTGTAAACAGTAATTAAAACAGCTTACGTAACTCTTGTAGTTTCGTGTTCTGTGCCCGGCTGATAATGGGGCCGAAAGACATCCTCTCTCCTTCATCGCGTTTCACAATCAGCCTTTCTGAGACATTTGAGTACTGCAAGCAGGCAACGCTCAGACCAATCCATAGATCTAGACCAACAACCTTATTCTGGGAAGTGGGGCTTGATATTTATTGGCTGCTGATGGCGATGATTTGAGAGCTTCCAGGGACCACTAGCCACAAGGTTATCCCGCGCTCTTGGAACGCATTATGAATAATGCATTTCTCCGTGCTGTTGACCCGCTATCTGACTCCGTCGTTCTCTGTGTTGCAGGCGCCGCACCATGTACTGCCTGCAGTGGCTGCTGCCGGTGCTGCTGCTGCCCAAGCCGCTGCAGCCGGCGCTGCTGCACACGCACGCCGTGTTCGTCGCCCTCTACCTGGTCGGCTTCTTCCTGGAGAAGCGGCCGTGCATCGTGTGCACGCTCGTGTTCGCAGCCTCGATGCTGGTGTTCTGCTCGTCGGGCCCCGGCGGGTGCCTCATCTGGGGCGTCGGCTGCGAGGAGGATGAGTTCGTCTGACCGACCCCGGCGGCGACTGGCACCATGTGACCAAGTGTGACAGGACGCCGTGTGACGGCGTGTGACAGGTCGTCGCGTCACGGAGTGTCGCGATGCCGTGTCACAGAGGGTGATCAATGAACGCGGTGTGCGGCCGAACCGTGCCGCGCTGGCTACTCAGGGTATCCGCTGAACGTCGCAGAGGTCACAAGTGCGGGACGCGGACACAAAACTTGGGTCGGCGGCAGGTCTATGACTGCGGACTTCTACAGTCTTCTGCGGTTCTGACCTTCAGAATCAGCGACTGCATATTCCGATGGACAGTCGCAGACGGGGATTGCCCTTGACAATCGGTACCGCTGGGCCTACTGACAAGAACATGTCACGTCTTTGTCCGTGACAGAAGCCGTCGTTGCGAATCATGATTTCACCATCATTCCTGATCATCAATCTTACCGGATTCGACATGAGAGTATCATGTGAAGCCTCTGGTACAACGTCACAAAAAGTCGACGTCGGCATCACACATTTAACAAATAAGGATTCGGCTCATGCTGATTACGCAGAGGTGAATGTCGGAAAATCTGAGATTGCCTTCTGTTTGCGTGATGCTGGTGATTTACGCAGAAGTATGGAGTCATCCGAACCGCAAGCCGGGTGGAAAGTTTGGGGTCATTGGAAGGTGAAGAGCGGTACCTGAAGATAAAATTGCGTTTATTTACCCTTCACCTGTCAGTGATGTGATGGCTTAACAAACCATCAGACATGTATTCGGCGTTCTCTGATTGTCGGCTCCGAATGTTATCGAAGGAGGTTGGCTTTGGCGCTGGGACGCCTTTTAATCACTCAGTGTATGTGCTATTGATATGTTAGAATTGCAAGGGATTAGTTGGCATTAGTTCATTGTAATTTATTTATTTAAATGGTAGTGTGATGAACTCGCATCCTTTGTACTTTCAGTTCAGACATTACCAGACACACAAAAAATAGTTACAGAATGTCTTAGAAAATAGTTTTCTTGCCAGCATAGTACTTGAAGCACTGATACTTGTGTCCGAATTTTCGCCGCATCGGGCGGTCGTTTTGGGTCAAGTTGCACGGCCTTTGCAACGGTACCTTCCGGTCGTGTCCTCCTAAAAAGTCTCCATGGAGCTGGACTGGCTCGATGGGACCGAAACTGGTTTACCTGGTGCTTGCCTCCTGCTGTAATCGAACCTGGCCGGTGGGGTGACCCTGGAGTGTGACTACCGGTCCGACGGGGCGCGGGGCACGGGGGAGGGGAGGAAACTGGTCACACCGCAAACTGTGATTGTGTTGCGAGAGGCAGGCACGCCTCGACTCTCTGTGATTGTGTGTAATGTGCCGAATTTACCAGTCAGCGTTGGTGGACGGTGGTATCCACTGTTAATATTGTGTGCTGTGCTTTGTGAGGGCTCCAAGTACCCGACCGCAGCGGTTGCCATTCGCCCTTTCACCGTGTACTTTGACCCTGTGTCGATACTGTGCTCAACCGTGTGTGTCTATATCTGATTGCAATACATGGCTCATGTTTATGACCTTGTTTTGGCCGTCACGAACCCGCGCCCCTCCACTGTGTCATGTTGAAACGACGCGCGTGCACTGATGCCTGTGGCTCTCCTTGGGGCACTGGGCCCGACCTTGGCATTCACATCGCACCGCCCGAGGCTGAGGGGTGAGCCCTCGCCGCTGTGTCACGGCACTGCTTTGTTGACGGCCGATTTCGATAGAATCGGCTTCGTGGCAATGCAATCGCCGAGGCTGCGCTGGCCAAGGCTGTAGCTGGCTGCTGGTTGCTGGCTGCTGGCCGCTGGGTGCTAACCGCTGGGCGCCAGCGCTGGTTGTTGGACCGGCTTGCCACGGAAGTGGAGCACAGTTGTGTGCAAGGAAAACTGCCCAGGGCCACAACGGGGAGTTCCGTGCACAGTGCGCGCTTGCAGAGGCGTGGTTCGATCGACGCTGGTTCACTCCAACTGGGGCAAGGTCTTTCCGCGTCGGAAAAAGGCGGCGATGTCGCTGCCCTCTTTTTATAGAGTAGCAGGAACTCCGCTTTGAAGTCGTATAAACATCGTAAAAAGCTGGCGGAATAGTCAGTTGAGCATTGATCGTCAGAATCTTGTGGTTAAAACATGTTTGGAGTTGTCAATAGCGTCGAAGACATGGAGACCCTCATCACTATAGGGTTGACAACTGCAAGGCATCGCTCGACTATTGACCTCTTGACCTCGAGCCCGGCCCTGGGCGGATTATAGCGGTTGGATTCCAGGAACGACAGCGACGCTTCTCGCCAGACGTCCTGCTAAAAGAAGATGTAAACATTTGTGCGACGAAGTCTGCTCAGTGATCGCCAGACGGTCGGTGCGATTGATTCCCGTACGAACTTTTTGTGAGGTTATCGGTTATTCGACAGAATGTGAAACGAACCACACGCACTCGATCGATGTTCTTTGTCTTCATAATAAGCGTTTCAAGTAGAATTACTTCCAGTCGGAAACCTTCAACGAGCAAGCGTAAACCTACAATACACAGATATTTTACAAGCGTATCAGTTCTCTAAAACATGCTTACTTGCCGCTCTACCCTCTTTTGTGGTCCGGTCTGAGGTCAGCTTAGACCGCCTCCTTTGTCCCGTCTCGCGTTACCCGGCCACCGTCCACTGCCTGCCTGTCTGACTGGCGACCCGGTCCGGTATGGCGGGATCGACAGGACAGCTGCGGCGCGCCGGTGTCCACCTGGTTCCCGGGTAGGTACGTTCAAACGACACACCAGAGGCGGGGCCGGCGGTGGTCCGTCCGTTGGGTCTGCAACACCTGGCCTCCCGGTCCGCCAGACGTGGCGGGCGGACGTCCGTTTAGTTGGCAACAGATGGTCGACTAGATAGATACACGAGGTCAAGACTCAAAACTCCAAGACTGGAGCGGCAGTGGCAGACCGTTCGTGGGGGCGTTAGACCAGTGTTGGCTCCTTCTGATCCGTTCAGGACACGGCGGTCCGCTGTCGCTATGTGAAGGACGGCTCTCTTGGCAGGGCTGCAGTCCGACGCGACAGCCTTGTGTCTGATCTCGGGCGGCCGTCGCGTTCCTGTCGTGCCTTTGGATTCTGTCCGCCGGAGACAGATGTTACCTGGTCCAGAACCTTGACCTGGCCACGGGGTTCCGCCGCGCCTCAGGTCGTGATGCTCTGGCCGTTACTGGGATTACTGGTACAATGAGACGAACTCACGACACAGTCTCACGACTCACAGTCTCAGGGTTCGCAGGCTCACGACTCGTGCTTGTCGGCCCCTCCCGTCCAGCGGTCTCACAGAGCGGTTCTCGACAATTTGTCGGCTGACCGTCAGGCTGTCAGTCGAGTTCTATCGATTTTTGTCGGATGCCCGTCAGATTGTAGGTCTTCTTAGCAGCGTGCCAGCGTTGCCTGCGTTTGGCACACCGTCAGCTTCCTCGGGTTCTCCTTGGTTGCTAAAACGAAGCACGATCCTGGGGTGGACCAACGGCGCTTTTCCTCCTCATCGGACATGACATGTTCGTGGTCTTTGAAATTAATCGGTTATTCACTCAGGAATGATCAACGGTGATTGCGAAACAATCGCTGGGGCACAGCGGCCGAATAACGGGTTACACGATGAATACGATGGTAGACGGAAAAAATATTTGTCATCCACATGCTATTTTAGTCCTTGACTCCAGTCCCCAAGGCCGCTTTGTTTGCAGCTGGCGTGAGTTCGTTGTCTCTTTATTTCGTCTTCGGTAACACAGGCGTTGCATAGAACCTGTGGTTTGCTTAGAAGCTGTTCGATGGGCTGGGAACCAGCCTGGCCGCTGTATGGTGCAAACATGTCTGAAGTCTGCATCGCAAACCAGAAACGAGCCTGGGGGATCTTCGCTGGACACAATTTACCCGCCATTTATTGGATAGTTTGTTATAGCTATACAGAAATACGACATTTTCACCGCCACTGGCTGTGACAGAGCGGTGAAGGAGCTGTACCAAAGTGAATATTGCAATGTAAATGTAAATGGTGGTAAATTGTAATGTAAATATTGTAATGTAACGCGACTTTTTCACATTTTAGCCGGCGCAAGCCATGACGCACATTTCTGATCCGGCGATTTCTGGTAACTGAGGTCTGGCGTGCAGCTAAGCTTCTGTATGATCCGCGGACTCACGCTCCCACGCACATATAGGATTTATTTCTACCTGCTGAACCCTGCGACACATGGCCTTGCCTGCAACGGATCTATTTGTACCTGCTGAACCCCGCGAGAATGGCGTGCTGGATAAATTTGAATGCGCCGACAGGTACCTATTGATGTAGGAGGGCTTGCCGTGTTCAAATTGATAGCTTTATTCTAGTTCACCCGGCGCAGCTCACAGTTCATTGAAGGAACAGCAGCCATTTAGGCTGTGTTCCGCGTCAAGCCTGGGTAAATACGCTGACACCGTCCGATATCGGGTCCTTCCTGGCGGAGCTCGGTTTTCCCTGTTGCCGTGAGCCGCGCTCCAGTTGGCGTGTCAGAATGTCGGGGGCCCATCGGCCTTCCTTGTCGCTACCCAGAGCCGCATTGTTCTTCCATCAGCCGGGCTGTACAAGGCGACCGCCGCGCCGTCCGCCTTCCTCCAGAACTATGCATTGTCTGTGAAACAGCTTAGATGTTGATCCCCTCTAGCTCCGCTGGCGGCATGGTCGTTTGTGCTTTGTTGAGCTTACAACTAACAAGCTCAGAGCCTCATTCAAGCCTAAAACACACCAGCATAGAATGCCGGATCGTTCGTGTGTTGCTGTCGTCACGGGTGAGTAGGCACCCTTGCTCCTCGTTCGGCCAGCTGGGCCTTTCACGGCGCCGTCCAGCGCGGTTGGCGGTCAGGGTCGCCGCGTGTACCTACACTTTCCCCGTCTCTCCCCGGCTTCTTCCAAAGCGCTCCATGACTTTCCAGTTGAGCCTCCGCCGTCCGAGTCATAAAGTGTTGATCAATTCAGAGGTTTTGCTACATGGTGAGAGGCCAACTGCATACAGTGATTGCCTTACCACTATGACGGTGATAGGAGTCTACATGAATTATTGATGGTGGTCACATATATATGGAAATTATCGTCTCCGGCTGATGCACCGCGTGCCAATCCATCTTTTGCGTCTTCAATCGTCTTCTGCGGAGTTGGGAGCGGTTCGTTTGGCTAGTGGACATTGGACATTCCCTCTGCGACTGTATCTAAACGGTGTCAAGGAGATGCCCCCGCCCCCCCCCCCCCCCCACACACATTCACCATGCGCGCCCAGTGTTTACACTAGTCACCGATAGCCAAATGGTTTCCCTCAACACGCAACAGTCGCACCACTGCAGGGAGTGTCAGACCCGCCGTCACTCGGCCATATCCTCCTAGTCTGGAATACTGAGCCCTTCATAGACTGAGGAAATTAGCCCGTTTCGTGCAGGTATTAGCCAAATTTTAGTCACTGGAATCCGTGACGTTTTCAGATTAAGATTGCCTTCTCTGTAGCTACTATTTTCGGCTCATCTCCATTGTGTTCTGTCAGCGCCGGGTGACGGACGGTGAGTCAGCGTCTGCAGATAGTCCCGCATTGTGCACGGGCTGTGCAACGTGCACGGCCGCTGCTCGTGCACGGTATACCTGACGGTGACTCAGCCGATCACAGGTGCGTCATGCTCCGTCTGCGGCGAGTTCCGACTTGCCTCCAGGGCCGGGTGGTGCCCGGAGATGGCGGCGGGTTTTACCATGACGCTCTGTCCGGGGGATAAGCGGCTCCGCTGCCGAAAATGTGCGTCATTGTTGCAGAAAGTGAAGGCAGTAAAGGCATCCGCGTAGTTAACTTTTACCTTTCTCAAGGTTCCCTTATGTAAAGCGCACCGACGCAGTTGCCATCAAGATTGTCCTTCTATCTTTCTCTAGAAGGCTGTCTACCGATTAAAATTGAGCAGCACCACTCTGATGGTTCCCGCTGTGCACTCCTGTGCCACGGATGATCAGTACGGCATTGTTTGGGCTTCACGACTTGTTTACATTGAGCTGAGGTCACTTGTGCTGGCCGACATGCGATGATGTTTGGCTAAAGAACTGGTCAGCAGACGGGTGGCGCCGGCCGGTCGGGGGGCGGGGCGCCCGCGCCGGCCTCCGGGCTGGGGTCGGGACGGCAGCCGTGACCGGTTCCTCGCGGGGTCGGCCGGTCGGCCAGAGTCTCCCACACTGACTGCTTCCTGCTCCAGCGCGGGGCCTTGACCCCGAGACCGCGTCTGCCGGGTGGCTGACGGGTCGGAGGTCGTGGCCTGTCTGTGTCTTGGCATGCCATTGGGTGAGCTACACTGCACTGCTTGAACTCCGGTGGGTACTGGCCGGTAAAGAGGTGGCTGGGACCATAGCCTGAGCGTCACAAAGTCTGTCGGTGCATTTCCCAAGCTGTGAGGTCATGACCTTGTCCGCTGTGGCCTAGTTATGCAAAGCCGTACTCTAATCGCGTCATCACGAAGAAGGTCACGTCGCGATTATGACATAACATTGTTTGTCATTGTCGTTATCTCTGTAGCTTTACACAAAACACCCCTGTAAGTAGTTCAGCATCGCTTTGGGTCAGGTCCTTGCCCTTCCCGCTAGCCTAATGCCAGCATCAGTTTATCGCCCCAATTAGTCTCAACACAGTCTCTCATCACTGATGACAACAAAGTGTGACACCATTACATCTTGTTACTACCTATTCCCATTCGCGTGACGATCTCGGAGTCGACGTTCTGCGAGGTGCGTGGTGATCAAGTGATCACATTCGGCCAGCCTCGTGTCTTTACACCGTGACCACTGCCGGCTGCGTGAATGTCGCGCTGGCTGGGGTCGAGGTGGGGTCAGAGCTGAAAGGTTTGAACTTCGGAGTGCTGTTCCATTCGCTGACCACAGCTGGGTGGTCAGATTGTTTACATCACATCATCACCCGTTCGAAGAAGGTGGAACTTTGTTTAGCTATTGGCTATTGGCAGGACCAGTGATGGAGCCCTCCCGTTTGTTTCGCCATGCTCTCTAGCGTGATGTAAAACTACGTCGCTGTGATGTAAAACTACGCGTCCGTGATGTAAAACTGCGCCACCGCAAGCCTTGCCAGCCAGTTACGGCGGTGACGTTGCAAAATATGAGATGAGCTCAGCTGGATAAGCCGTACTCATGGACATTTCATGAACGTTTTGCGATGCTCGGTGCTATTATCACCACTTCCCGAGGATGTGCAAGTTGATAATCACCTACAGTTGATAATGCAGTGATTCACACTGACTAGCCCGTCAGATCCCTGATAGATGAAGCTTCGGACACGTTCGGTTATTCCCCGGGGTTCCATTTGAATTGTGCAATGAAATGGCGACGATAATCTTTGATCGCAACTTATGATCGCTTATTTAAGACGATGGGTGGATGCATACTGAATGTCCTTGCCCTTGCCTTGCCCATCATTTTGGTTCTCCGCCCGCGGGCTCGGCTCTCGCCCTAGTGAGCGCGCCCATGGCCACAGCGGCTGTGATCCACCCTCGCATTTCGGTGAGGTATTACCGACATGACAGACTGTGACAGAACCCGGCGGTGAAAGCTCTCAATCTGCGCAACCCGTGTACCAAGTGGTACTGCGCAGTGCACTGAAACACCCGCTGAGCTACTTATCACAACGGATGGATGCGCATTGCGCAGCAACCCGATCCATTTTTGACACTTGCGCATTTCCAGCTTTGATCTTTAACATGTTTTTTTCATAATACTTATTACTGTTTTATTTGAGTAGCTTTTATCCGCATGCTTGGATACCTAAAGAAAGATGTCCATTGTCCATTTTTGTCGGTTAGCCATTTACCACGGGGATTGGTTGCATGCACGGTGCTAAATGGTACTAAATGCCACGCTGAGATGTCCCCAGCCCCAAGGACGGATCGGAATGTAGCTCTGTGCGGTGGCCCCTGGGCCCCCGGCTGCACGTGTGCCGGCCTCGTGCATGTCGCAATGTCAGTGATGCCGGTACTTTGTTGCCATGGTAACCAGCAGCTAATGACGGACATGCCGTCGTAAGGAAGTTTGGTGGGTCTTACATAACCCGGTAGGTGGCATGATTCGCCGTTCCCGCCCAACGCTTTAGTACGCAGGTGTCAAAACTTGAGTCTGTAGAATTATTTCCAGCTGTTACCAGCACTTAAAACCAGTCGTTTTATTCCATTAATTATTTATGATGTTGAAAACTCATTAGTCATCTCAGTAAGATTAGAACGGGTAACTTTCCGTGGTTGGAAGCAGGGCTGCGGAGTCGGAGTCGGAGTCGGAGTCGGAGTCGGTCGGAGTCGACAGTTGTGACCGGAGTCGGAGTCGGAGTCGGAGTCGATTTTGGAAACCCGATCCGGAGTCGGAGTCGGAGTCACCGAAAATCCGTCGACTCAACAGCCCTGCCAGGTCTGCGGAGTCGGAGTCGGGAGTTGGAGTCGGTCGGAGTCGACAATTCTGCCCGGAGTCGGAGTCGGAGTCGGAGCTGGTTTTTGAAAGCCGGAGTCGGAGTCGGAGTCGGAGTCGCCGAAAATCCATCGACTCCGCAGCCCTGGTTGGAAGTATCCATCTGATGCAACTACCCGTAACTTTTACCGTTCATTACCTAACTCGATCGGTCACTTTTAGCGAACCTCGTGGTCGTTTATTAAAAAAGAGGCGTATCGTAAATGGCTAGTGACTCTTCTCACCCTTAGGCCAGTGCTCTCCCGAGCGCTGACCCTGCTGACCTCTCGCCCTCCCCTCCCCGCTCATCAGGCCGTCGTCCGTCGGCCATCTGCACAATTCCAACCATGAAGGTAACGCCGACGCCGACGGCCGCCTACCTGTCGGGCGTCGTCCACAGTCGCCGCATGGGGCGCACATTCAGTATCGGAGACATGGACCCGGACACGTTCAGCCGCATCAAAAACTACGACGAGACCGTCGGCAGGCTGGACCACTACTACGGCGTCGGTGAGTGCTGCCGCCGGGGTGGGTTTGGGTGTAACGGGTATTTGGGGTGTGACGGATGAATGCTGAGTGTGCAGATGGGTGTCAGTGTCGGGCGTAAATTCATCTTTTGTGGCGTCATGGTGTGGATGGTGGTGTACAGTACTCGTAAATGTTTGGTGCTGGGTTTTGGCGGCTCATCATTATGCGGTGTTAGATGTTTGAGGATCAATGTGAAGTACCGGTGTGCTAAGACCAGGAAATCAGTATCGATGTACCCCGAAAATGCACCCTATCTGAGTATTGTGCGTTGTGTTCCTCAGTGAAGCGGCAGCTGATTGCCAACCAGAGCTTCATGACCGGCCAGTTCCCGGAGAGTTCGGCGGAGCGGGTGGTGTCAGACGTTCGCACCAGCCTCTACTGCGCCTTCTCCATCTGGTGTCTCCACCAGGCCTACAAGTGAGCTGCTGTCCTCTCTAACCAGGCGTACAACTTACAAGTGATCTGGCACCCATATCCTCTTCCCATCTAGCGTTATCCACATGCGATACGGTCTCTGATGCGCCTTCTCAATCTGGTGTCTCCACCAGGCCTTCAAGTGAGCCGACTTCACGAGTGATGTATTGTTAATGTCCTGCGTTGACGTCCCTGGTTCGATGTCGCAGGGATGATGTCTCCTTGTGACCACATTATCCCTGGATGTGATGACACAAGTTGAGTTTGTTGTGTAATGTGTTGACAGTGGTTAACGTAGAACTATAATAAGAAACGTGTGGCCAGGTGTGGCTTATCGCATAGCTTAGTTATCATATGAGCAAAAATAAATTACACGAAACCAAACGTTCCAGCGCCCTAAACCCCCAAATTGTCATCATCATCAGACCAAACGTTTTGACACATCAATCGCGCTACATTGAGTGCTGTTGGTATGAGCTCTTGAAACGAGACTGCTATTGGATACGAAAAAAAATGAAATGTATTGGTAATAGTTTATCTTAAATTCACTTCACGACATAAAATTGTTTAATGTGTCCCAATGTTTAAAGTACTGGGGACGGCTGACTCGGGCCTTGAGGCGGGCACGTGCTGTACCGTGGCGGAATGTGTATCGTTTTTACCCGCCGTGCCCCGGCCGGCCGCGGCTCAAGGCTGCGCCGCCGCTCGCGCAGGGAGGCGGGTTTTTGTGCGCGGCAGCCGTTTGTTAGTGTCCCCTGAGGGCGGGATGGTCCATGTTTATGAACTCGCATTCCCCCGCGTTGTCCGCAGCTCAACTGACGTTACCGTTCGGCCGATATGCGCACTTGATCTTTGGCCCACTGATAGAGCGGAAACGTGATTGAATATATCGATTGATCGGAAACGTGACTGAACGCAGTGACAGTCGATATCTCTACCCATGATACATGAACGGCTATGTGACCGTTGATGGTCTTTGTTATGGCTGCCAGTTTTTATACCGTGTATTTAATGAGTGTCTCTTAAGTATCTCTGGACATATACTAACACCCTCTCCTTCCGTGAAGATGCTGGGCGTGACGGTCGACCAAACACTATCCTGGGAAGCGCACATATCCACTGTTGTCAAAAAGTGCAATTCCATCCTTTTCTGTCTCTATAAAATTCGACATCACCTTACCCCCGAGGCCCGACAGCTTCTTATCCAATGTCATGCCTTCCCACATATCCGATACTGCCTCTCCGTCTGGGGCGGGGCCGCCGCATGTCACCTTCAGAGAGTGCAGAGGGCGATAAACTTCGGGGCCAGGATCGTGTCGGGGGCACGTGCGCGTGACCATGTCTCGCCAATTCTGAAGGAGCTGGGCTGGCGTGGTTTAGGTGACATGACCGTGCACCACGACTGCGTCCGTGTCTTTGGCGCATTGAAGGACGAGCGAGCTCCCGCCGCGGTCCGGTCCTTGTTTGTCGCCCGGGCCGATGTATCCCAGAGAACCACCCGAGCGACAGTGGCTGGTATGCTGGAGCCTCCGGGCTTTCGGCTGGCCATGTCACGTCGCGCCTTTTCTTACCGGGCGGCCTCGTCCTGGAACCGCCTGCCGTCGGCCGTCACCAGCTCCGAAACTTGAGCTGAGTTCTTACGTTTACTGGATACGTGCTTTTAATTTTTATGTTTACTCATCAGTGTACATCGTGCTTCTTTCACCCTTTTCTTTTTAATCGATGTCTCATTTATGTATTTTGACTCAGGCATGACATTAACCCACCATGTGGAATGGCCTGTAAATACACTGTACTGTAATGAGTGGCTGCTTATGTTTCCCATCATGATTTAGTCAACCTGAACATATCCCGAGGCCGACCCACTCTCTCATAGTCTAGTTCTACCCTCTGATACACCGCAAATCTCCTTCAGCTTGCCCAGTGACATATTCTGTTCTCTCCCCCTCCCCCTCCCGCCTATTTTATCCTCACACCCAACCAGTCTGACGGACTCTGTCTCCCCAGACGCATTGACGACGACCGCGGCAAGACGTTCGAGCTCGGCCAGTCTGTCGTCAAGTGCATGCGCGGCATCCTGCGCTCCTGGATGAAACAGGCCGACAAGGTGGAGCGTTTCAAAGCTAACCAGACGACGCACAACGCGCTGCACTCCAAGTTCCACCTGGTCACCGGCGACGAGGTGCTCACATGTGAGCAGTACAATCATCTACAGGTGAGAGCGGAGGCGAGGAGCTGGTGGAGGCGTTTGATTTGGTTGAGAGGGGATGAGGTGGGGTATGCGAGATTTTAACCGTACAATCGGTGGAAATTTGACACATACTACGTCAGTGGAACCCGGCTGTTTTGTCATGAATCCTGGATGCATTACGTCATGGAGTAGTTTGATTATTTACTATTTAGTTCTTGGAACATCAACGCAGGACTGGCTGTATTTCGTTGTTATTTTGTCTAACGGTAATCCCCTTGCTGTGGTTATAATGATTTACGACTCGTGGCTGCCACTTGATTAGCTCACTTTGGTCTAATGCTATTTCAAAACTGCGCTATGCCCTGATCTTTAAAATACATTAACAACCACGTATTTAATGCATCAGGTTTGGACGTATTGCGGAATCTGACGGACTATTAATAGACTTTGCTCACTGTACTTTTCCGCAGATACCAGCTTTCTGTCGACACTTCCTGAATGTTCGGTATCAGGGCTTAACACTCTGCCCTTTAGCCACCCGGTCTTTTACCACATCGGTGCACTCACTGTCGTCTCCGCGTCACGAATATTACCAGTGAATTCACTTCCCTAGCAACGATTCAACTCTGTGAACAGTGGACTGTAGTGCAGTGTCGACTCGGTGTCACTAACTGGAAACACGTACTGCTCCTAACCTATTGAAGTTTCACTATCCTCGGTAAATATGCGGCGATGGGCGATCTGGAAAAGGAGTTTTGCCCGACAACGCTCTACTGATCTCAACGTAAGCCAAGCACGATTGAGGAATTCACTAGCATTCACTTGCGGACAATCTGTCCTTTTTACAACCGGTTTCAAGTAATCAACGCAGGTACTGGTTTAAGTTTCAGAAACTCATCAAATTTAATCCATCAATGAACTCAGCACTTTCACTCTTGGCCACAATGTCTTGAGACCGGACTAAGCCGTCCTGATTGTCCTGCCTTGTTTGTGGTTTGAGCTGAGGTCTTATTATGTATTACAACAGGCTGAAGCATTGATTTACGTTAAATGTTTGGTGTAATCCCAAACACAGCTGCTTGCTTTGTGGTAACATTTTAGCTCTACCCTTGCGAGTTTTGTTGAATTTTGTCCTCGCTAACTGGACTGATGTATGAGAATCATGTGATGGCCAATAAAGTAGTTGAAGTTGAAGTTGAAGCTGTCAATGGAAAGAGGCCCCATTCAAAGGGCCTGCGACTTCCTCGCTTTCACTTTTACTTTCCCTCCACGATATTCCTTCTCTAAGTAGCTTACATAATGGCAACACCTTAGAATCGAAACCATGGAAAGTGATTTAACTATTTCATAAGAGCGACGGATCCGTCATGGATCTTCATGAATGCTTATCCTGTATTTTAATCGAATTTAAATTCTTCAGCTCACATCTTCAAGTGGTTTCAACACCGCCCCAATTGCCTGTCTGTAGCCTGTCCTTTTCGTGTGTCAGTTTTTTAATCTATTGCGCGATATTATAATGTTAGGAAATCATGTTCCATAGCCGGAAGTCTAAAGTCAGTGCTGCAGCATGCCCGCACGTGTTGACAACAGCGGCAATGCTTCCCTTCCGGGTCCTTGGCCGGACAGTGCCACCAGCCAGCAGTGACCTTGGTCTGTCATTGAACGCCGGACGATTTGCTGATTTATCGCCCGTTAACCTATTCATCCGATATCAGTCTCGGAGTGGGGTCCGGGCGCGTGCGGCACCGCGTATCTAAGCTAAATGTATGCCGAAATGCACCGAAGCCGATTACACACCCTGTTCCGCAATGACATGCATGGAAATAACATGGTAGCCATGGAGCAGTGAGACTGGTTGTTGAGCATGACTCTGCAGTTTTTGTTCCAGAAGGCTTTCGGGGTTTCTAGGCTCATATGGTCTGTTGCTGGGCATATTGTGTGCAACGGTAAACATGTTTCGGCTGCTGAGGGGCTTTGGATCGCTTTCTAATTTCATATCCATGCAATGCACAGTCGGATAGTTGCAGAGACGACGTTCGACCTTAATGTGGCGTGCTTGGGGCGAAGGACGGTGGGATAAGAAGGAAATGGGATAGCCCTCCTCTTGCGGCACACAGCGCTACTTATCTGTGTCTGAGCCGTTCATCAGCAATGCATATTTTTATCGTATTTACTTTGAGCCCTGTCAACTTGTGGGATAAGCACTTTGTTTATAATTTGACGCTTATTTTTTGACCCACCCACGTCGCAGTTTGCTTTATTCGTGCGAACCCCTGCTAAACGTATCGAACTCAGGCCGTGTTTTCATGCTAACGATCTGGTACTCTCTCGATCTGGATCTGTTACTTATTCGCTTCTCGCTCCATCAGTCTCACAAACTCATTATCCACACATCACTGTTCACATCTGCCCTGCGTCTGACTGTCCTATCCCGCTGGGGACAATTTCCAATAAGTGTTCTTCATTACACGCCCCCGGGGATATCCCCCCCCCCCGCCCACCGGGCGCTCATCTGACGCTCCTGGCGCTCTGTTTCGTCTCCAGATCGACGTAGTGTCGCTGTACCTGCTGTTCCTGGTGCAGATGACTGCCTCCGGGCTGCAGATCGTTTTCACCATCGACGAGGTGAACCTGGTACAGAACCTGGTGTACTACGTGGAGAGGGCTTACCGGACACCAGACTTTGGCATGTGGCAGCGCGGCAGCAAGTACAACAACGGATCGTCCGAGCTGCACGCCAGGTGGGGGAGAGGGTCACAGGGATGGTGCAGAGACGAGGGCTTAGTTGTGTGGGTAGGGATACTTGAGAGGCTGGTGTCGGCAATACGAATTATCGATGATAGTGCCTGCGATCCAACAGCCAGATCATATATGTAGGTGTATATAAAAGTGTTGTAACGACAGTTGGCTCAGGCACGCGTCATGCAAGTATCATTTCGATATGCCGTTTTCAGTCTCGACTCTTGGATTCGTCAGGCCCGCATTGTTTGGAATTCCACTGAATTTTGCTCTGCCTAGAAGTATTTTTGTTCGTCTATATCCAAGTTCAATCGGTCTGACTTTTCCCCTCTCGCCGCAGTTCGATCGGCCTGGCCAAGTCGGCGCTGGAGGCGGTGAACGGCTGTAATCTGTTCGGAGACCACGGCAGTTCCCAGTCGGTCGTCTATGTCGATATTGACGCCCACAACCGCAACCGAACCATCTTCGAGACGCTGCTGCCGAGAGAGTCCAGCTCCACGGTACGCAGCGAAGGGGCAGTGGGAAACGGCGCTGGGTGTTACGGCGGTGATCAGTCAATGTGATGAGGTGAAGTAGAGTTAAAGTAACTATACGGTGTGATTAATTTATTTGAAACTTACGAGTGGGAGTGTTTAGCTGATGTCAGTATTAGAATTGGTGTATTTCGTGTGTAATATTTGCAGCGTTTGCTGAATTTGCTATGGCTGCATCAGGTGATGAATGGCCTGACAATCTCTCTCACCCACCCTCTCCCCTCTCTCCCCTCTCTCTCTCCCCAGTCGAGCGACATGGCTCTGATGATGGCCATCTCGTTCCCGGCGTTTGGCACTCACGACCAGCTGCTCTACTCCAAAACAAAGTCGAAAATTGTGCAGAAGCTGCGCGGGAGACACGGCTTCAAGCGGTTCGCCCGTGACGGGTTCGGGACGGTACTGGAGGACAGCTCGGAGCGCTTCTACAAGGACAGCACCGTTCAGGTAGTGACGGGATAATGGAAGGAGGCGCTAGGATACCTATGTGAAGATGATTTGAGGGACAGGCTAGGATGTCTGTGGCAATGATGTAGAGACTAACTAGAGACCATTGAATACGTACGCGAATGATGATGAGCAAGAGTAGCTGTTCTAGTGATATGATTTATGGTGTCATGATAGACCGTAAAAGAGAAAGCGTGGTACCATGGCCATAATTATGTTTTATTCGGCTGTAGAACCCATTAACTGCAGATCATATCAACAGACGACGTACATTTTTTTTCTTTTGGTCCCCTCTCTGCCATGAGTATAAGAATTGCCTATGTTTTATTTCATGAAATGCGGTTGCCATTTATGCAGTACCATTACTTTTCAGACAGAAGATAGTCCCTTTCCGAAGTCACGAGCCGAGTTCAGTCGAAGACAGCGCACTGATCGATTCCCCTGCACCCTGCCCCGACCTCCCCCGCGCCCACAGAACTTTGAGTGACTGAGCTGGACTCAGTCGAAGACAGCGTACTGACCCGTCCCCGGTGCCCTGCCCCGTTCTCTCACGTCCACAGAAGTTTGAGCGTATCGAGAGCGAGTGGCCGCTGTTCTACATGTACATGATCATCGACGGTGTGTTCCGGAGTGACAAGAAACAGGTGGATGAGTACAAACAGCTGCTGAGGCCGCTAATACACTACGACAGACGCACAGGTACGGATACTGCACGGCGGCTGTCGAACGGGGACTGCACGTTGGTTGTCGTAGTGAATTGTACCTTAGCTGTCGTCGTGAGCTATACGGAGCCCGGCTGTCGTGAGCTGTTCCTTAGCTGTCACTAGCTGTTCGTTAGCCGTCGTCTTGAACTGAAGGTTCTCTATCGGCTGGTGTGTGTAGGGTGAATTCAGCGCGTGTGGTGGCGGGTCGGTCGGTACGCGAGGAAGTGTGGTATTCGCCGGCCCTGGGTCACGGGTGGGGGGTGGGGGGGGGGGAGTAATGTTTATGCTGGTTGGGGTATTGATGAGCACAAGGAATGGGACGATGTTTTAAGCACTGCATCCGGCTAGAATCTATATGGATTTTACACGGTACCTTTGTTGATTCAAGCATGAATCGAGTTATTTTTATGGGTAGTAATGGTTTTGTTTCTGACATTGGGTGGGTGCATGCTTTGTCAAACACACATTCGCAAAAAGAAACCCGATGCAAGTTCGGGACCTTTCGTTTGCCCACATTGCGTTTGTCATCCGATTTACTCATGCATGACTGAGATGTTCGTAGGTACTGGCGGGAGGTAGTGATCTCTTTTTAGTTAATTGTGGACAGAGTGTGTTTGTCTTGTCTGTTTTGTGTTGTCTGTTGCTTGTCTTGTCTGCCTTTACATACGGCTTACATTGCATATAAACCAGCTGTGATAGAACATGAGCGCTAGAAAACACTATCAATGTGGTGGTATTGCACACCCGTTGTTTCTAATGGGGACATTCGTATGTTTGCAGCTGCATTTGCTAACGGTACTAATTGGTCTCACCGCTGCTTCAGTTAACAACACAGTAGTCTATCATGTAGTCTTGCTCTGTTGGTACATACTGTACCATGGGTGTTTTGCATATCAGTCAGTTTTATGCTCCCCGTTTCGCGCCAGTTGCTGTCCGGCTTGGCTTTGTAGTAACACCTTTCGGTGATTTTCAGGGGAAGATTCGTTCGGCGGTAAGTTTTCTGACTACTGTAACCTACCTATCTTCCCAGCCTCGGCGATGTTTTCCCTACGTTTCTTTACGAACGCACCCTGGCATGATCGAACACACGCTATTGTGTCCAGCCGATAGCATGCATATCGGTGGTCTATTTGGTGTTCTGGTGGTCTGTGAATGGTCTCTGTCCATTTCAGTCTCTTGGTGAGTTTCAAAGGTTTTCGTTTCAGGCTGTCGCACTGTTGATATGCATGACAGAGAAGTTTACTTCGGTGACTGATGACTAGCTGAGTAAGCATTTCAAACATTCGAATTTGTTGTTTATTGAATGAGGCAACTCTCTGCAATAAACGAACAGACCATTATGTTGAGTGCACAGTAGGTACATACGGTCATGCTCAGGTATGCCCCCACGGAAACGAGTGGATGCGAAACGCAGGCACGAGATCTTGTTGCGGAAGCTAGAAATGAAAATGAACGTGGTAACTTCCCCAGTAAGCAACATGATGGTCAAAAGAGACATGGCATAATCCGCATTACAGGAAGGTCTGGAACGCATGTGAAAGAAACACTGGATGACTCGTAAAACACACGCAGTTACGACGAACACACGAGTGCGCACATGACTCGTAAAACACACGCAGTGACGACGAACACACGAGTGCGCACACCGGGCGCTTGTCGGGTACATGTTGTGCATCACTGGGCGCTAGTAGTCGGTAAGCAACACATAGGTGGCGCAGAGATACTACAGATCCAGAACATCACGTGCAAACCGTCGGCGACCCCGAGAGGACGGTGGCAGCTCCCGGTCTGAGCGAGGGGTGGTGAGGGAACGCGAGCACGGGTGACAGGGAGTCGGGAGACACACCGGTATATCAGTAGGCTGTCGGTCAGGGGAGTGCGTCCCTGATTCAAGGGCCACAGCTGGAGGGGTCGCCGGGGGCGATGAGGCGGCGTTTGCAGGATCTGGCTCTGGACTGGGGCCCTGCGAGGGGGGCGGGAGTGACTCAGCCCCGTCGGTCTGGGACGGTGGTGTGCCAGTCAGCGAAGACTGAGCAGTGCCAGGTCGCAGCTGTGGGTGGTGCAGACCGTGATCGGCGGGGTGGGGCCTGGGCGCGGGAAGAGGAACAGTAGGTGTCGTGTGCGCGAGGGGTACAAACGAGCGCAAGAACTTCCGATTGCGTAGGGTCATCCGTCGTGATCCGTCGAGCATGATCTGGTATTGCCGAAACGGCAATGCGGCCACCACCACTCCACGGCGGTCCCAGTTTCGAGGGTGGTTGCCCGACTGATTTTGAACCAGCACATGCTGGCCAGCTTTTAGTGGAGGCAGGTCCTTAGTGTGTGCTTGCAGACGCTCATGGTCACGAGAGGTGCGCTTGGCTAGTGCTTTCTCCCTCCAGCATGCGACATCTTGCCACGTCTGGCTGAGATCCTTGTGGTTACGTAGGGGGGGCTGCAGCGGTAGCCCTGGGAGGAAGTCCCGCAACTGTCTCCCGAGGACTAGCTCAGCTGGGGACAAGCCGGTGTCTCTGTCAGGGGTGTTGCGGTGCTGCAAGAGTGCGCGAGTGAGTTTCACAGAGTCGAGGGACCCATCAGCAGTGACGTTGTCCCGTATGAGGCGTTTGGCCGTTTTCACAGCGACCTCAGCACGGCAGTTCGCGTGAGGAAAAGCGACCGATGTGAGGCGGTGGTGGATCCCGTGCTGAACGAGGAAATCCTTTACCTCTTGGGCCATGAACTGAGGCCCACCATCACTTGTGAGTGTTTCGGGGACCCCCAGACCGCGGCAGAGTTCCATGAGGACGTCTTTTAGGCTGATGCCGCGCCAGATCTGAAACCAATTGCTGAATCGGTCAACAACGACGCCGTATGTGTTCCCCATGTACGTGAAGTAATCGGCAGCCACGTGTTGGAAGGGATATTCCGGCGTGGCTGGTGGGATAGGCGGCATGTCGGCCTGTGATGGCGCATGTCTGTTGCAAGCCGCGCAGCGTTGCCGGACCGCTTCAATGTCCTGGGACATGTGGGGCCAAAACACGGAGCGTTCCGCGCGTAGCCTCATGCCAGTCACTCCCTGGTGTGCGGCATGGAGGGTGTCTAGGACACGGGACCTGAGAGCCTCGGGGATGACAGGTCGGCCGTGGAAGAGAAGGACGGGCCCCGACGTGCTGAGGTCGTGCCGGATGCGCCAAAGAGCGCGGAGTGGATGAGGGAAACCATCCGGACACGCAGGGAATGAGGTGTTTGCCATCTGAACTGCCTGGCGGATGATGCTGTCTTGTTCCGACGCCCGAGATAGGGTCGGCCAGTCGATCGGCTGCAGTGCTGGCGACACCGAGCACAGAATGTCGGAGTCGTCTTCATCACCTGGATCCTGCGGGCGTGCCATTAGAGAGAATAGGTGATGGAAAGAGTAGTCCTCATCGACCACAAACAGCTCGTCGATCTGTGACTCGACCAAGCTGTCATCGGACCCCTCGCGCTGTTCTCTCACACCATACCTCGAGAGAGCGTCGGGGCCTCCATGGAGGCGACCCGGGACGTGGACCAGAGAGAAGGACCAGCCGAAGCTTTTCTCCTTTAGGCGTCTCAGCCTAGGATTGTCTATGCCGTCCAGGGAACGGTCGCCGAAAATACCCAGGAGAGGTTTGTGGTCGGTTCCCACCACCAGTTGGTCACAGCCGAGTGTGAAGTATTTAGTTTTTTCGAGGGCATTGGTGACGCTCAATGCCTCGCCCTCTGTTGGGGAATAGCGACTCTCGGCGCTAGAGGTGAACCGAGACCCGACGCCACACACACGCCACCCAGCGGGGCAGCAGGTCGGCTTGAGTTCGGTGCAGGTACAGTGTTTTTGAAGGAGGACGTACCCGAGTCCTGTTTTACACCAGTCCGTGAGGATGCACGTGGGCTTGGCGCGGTCAAACGACTGGATTCCCTTCTCCACCTCCCGAGCGATGACCTCCCTGGTGTTTCGGAACAGCTGGTCCAGAGTCTCGTCCCAGTACCAAGGACAGTCCTTCTTAAGGAGGGCGCGGAAGGGGAGGAGTTTAGGCTGGGTGGCATAGAAAGCCGACACTTGATTGACCAGAGCCATGAATGATCGCAGGTCGGTCACCGAGGTCGGCGTCGGAAACGACCGAATAGCCTCCGTGTGGGACGGCAACGGTCGGACGCCGTCAGGGCCCAGACGAAAGCCGGCCCAGTCCACGGTCTTTTCACAGAACACGAACTTGTCGCGGTTCTGGAGGATGCCGTTTCGGCCACAGAGCGTCAGATACTCCGCCACATGTTGGAACATGCATCGAATCGTGGGCTGGTACAGGATGGAGTCGTCGATGACCCTGTCACAAGACTTCACATTCAGTGTGACCCGATCGAATCGGTGAGTGTAGGCATCTCCGGAGACCTTGTACCCTTGAGGGACGGTTTTGTAGCGGTACCTGCCCCATGGTGTCAGAAAGGTCGTGAGGTGGCGGTCCGATTCGCGAATGGCGACGGAGTGGTAGCCGTTGAAGGCATCTGTAGTGGTTTTCCACTGATCCGCGGGCACGGCCATGGCTTTTTGGAAAGGGGGCATAGTGGGATGCGTCTGACGGATGCTGGCCTCGTTGAGGGCCTGGAAGTTGATGGTTCGGCGGGGCTCGCCGTTGTGCTTGCGGGTCACTACCATTCGTGAGCACCACGTGACTGGCTCGTTGACATCTACTTTTTCCAGTACCCCCATGGCGACGTCCCTGTCAAGGTCCCGACGCACCCTGTCTTCCCAGTGTAGGGGAACGACAGCTGGTGTGTACACGGCGTGAGGGGTCGCGCCAGGCTTCACGGCGAACTCTAGGGGTGGGCCGTGCATGAGGGGGAGGGGCTGGTGGCAGCAAGTGTTAAACGTGGATGACGCGTAATGGTCGAGCAGCAGCTGCTTCAGGGCAGGGATGTCAGCATCGGTGGGGTTATCTGGCAGAGGTGGCGGCTCGGGTGTCGGAGCGCGGCGAGGGCATCCGCATGGTGCCAGGTCAGGTGCAGACGGAGCCGAAGCAGCCGGCTCGGTGTCGAGCGCGGAGACAGCTCCTGGTTTACCCGAAGGTGGGTAGGGGAACTCGGAGGAAATGGAGCCCAGCGCCTGGAGTGCACGGGCAGAGAGGTACAGTGCAGTCAATTCCTCCGCCACATACACAGCCTCCAGCGTAGACGCCGACCGGCCCCCGTTACTCACTTGGATGGTGGCAGGGAGGGTTCCCCAGATCGTAAGTCGGGCCCGGTTGGCGGTCGAGAGCGTGATACGTGACGGCAGCAAGGACGACCGCCGCACACCTAGGGCGCTGAGGGTATCCGGGCCGCAGCAGGTCACTGTGGCACCCGTGTCAGCCACTGCCACGCACGTAACTGGTGGCGGGACCGCGACACTGTCACGGGCCCGGTCGGTGCATGGGAGGCTGGCCACGTCGACTTGGACCTGCACCGGCAGACGGTTTGATGCTGGGCCAGCGTCGGCGATGGAGCTGCTGCTCGGTTCCAGGAGAAACCGGGAGCTCAGCTCTAGGAGAGTGGCGTCAATCTCATCTGCTGTTTCTCTACGGGCGGGCTGACGAGGCCGGTGTTGGCTACGGCAAACAGCTGGCAGATGGCCACGACGACCACAGGTGCAGAGGTGGTTGGCTGCCTTACACTGGCGACGGTGGTCGTGGGCAGCCTCCCCACAGTTGCGACAGACTGTGTGGGATGCCTGGCCGCTTGGCTGTGGCGGTGCGTTGGTGCGGGGTCCAGAAAGTTTCAATTTTTGATACGATGAGCGAATCCGACCCAGTTCTTCACTCTGGATAGCTTGCTGGCTCCGTTTGGCGGTTTCCTTCGTCACTGCATACTGCTCGGCCGCCGCAAGTGTAAGCGGGGTTTGAGTCAGCAACTCTGATTGCACCTCGGTGTCGCACAGGCCCGACAAGAACTGGAATAGCACCATCTCCTCCTCGAAGCTTACTGCCCGGTCACAACGACACTGTACGACCAAGTGACACTGTCGCGCCACCTCACGCAGCCTCGCCGCGAACTGCGCCACGGGCTGACCGGGATCTTGCTTCATCCGCTGGAGCTTGAGGATGTGGGATAGCCGGTTCTCCGGTCGCACCATGAGGTCTGCGATATGAGTCAGGAGTTGTTGCTCACTCAAGGATGTGAGTCCAGCACCAAATCGGGCGTACAACAGGCTGTACGCAGGCGAAGGCAGCGCCTGCAAGACAGTGTCTGGGTCATCGCCAGATATGCCGGCCCTTCGCTTGTAGGTCGTGAGCTGCTGCCTGAAGACCCCCAGCGCCGTGTCTGTTACAACACCATCTGGCGAGACCTCCAGTGTTGGTAACTTGGCCTTCTCAGGGGCGGCAGCAGCGGTTGGTGGGTGCGACGCTGTCTGATGCATCTGAAGGAGCTGGATGCCCACTGACCCGTCAAGCGCCGGAGTCTGGAACCCACAGTTGGGCCAGGGGCACTGCATCTGAACAGGAGTGGCCATAGCTGTAGTTGCAGGCTTGTCGGCTCGATCAGATAGCAAAACTTCAGTGGAGTTGCCTCATAGCTGAGTAAGCATTTCAAACATTCGAATTTGTTGTTTATTGAATGAGGCAACTCTCTGCAATAAACGAACAGACCATTATGTTGAGTGCACAGTAGGTACATACGGTCATGCTCAGGTAATGACATTACAGTATTTTGTGGTTTTGAGAGCCCGGTTGTTTATGCACATCAAGCTGTAATTCAGTGACCGCAAAACAAACCGGAGACCTTAGCGGAAAACAGGTGTTGACGGTTTCTGGTTATTGTGGTGAACTGGGCTAACGCGATGCCCTGTTTTTCGATCATTTACAGAGTTTGCAATTATTTAAAAGCACCTGAATGCTTGAATGTCCTATTGAAAGCACCGATGTGCGTTTTTCTTGTCCCTCCTCATCTCTCTTTTTCACGCCACAATTATTTTATTTTTATTGTTTTTCTGGATTCCTCTAAAACCATAATGAAAAGCGGTGTTATCTCGGCAGTCGTGACCTTTGAAGCCTAAACTGTTGGAACGAAGCCAAATGTGCGGGCGCACTTCAGATAAGCCATTTTAATTTGGAGCGTTGCTTATCTTTGTTTGCGGAACACAGTGAGCTGTTTGATTTTACGCGGCAGGGTGGCAAGCTGAACTATATTTTGGACCAAAAAGACGATTGAAATGTCTCGCTTTAATACCCTTCTGAAAGACAACGCATTGTTTTATTCGCAGCACTTTGCTTCACATATTCGTCGTTTGAGTTGGCTATTTTTCTGCACTAGCTGAAAGAAATGGGAAGCGGTAGAGTATTTTAAAGTAATGCCGTTCAGGCCATACGGTACCGCCACATAAATACACAGCATCGTTTCTACACCAATATAGTGAAATCATGTCTTTGTCTGATAATCACAAATTAACTAAATGCAGAAAGTTTTACCGTCTTTCAGGGATGGTCTGATCGGAACGATGTGAACGTCTGTGTTGTTGGCAGTCCTGTAGTTGGCGACCTTACCCTGAAATTTGTGCTTATTCACGTTGTTGGATTCGTCTTAGTTAGACCCCAGTTGGCCCCTTCAGTCTCCTCGCATGTTTTTAGAATTGCTTAAACCATCGAATTGTCATGCCGTCCATCGTTTGTTCTCGGAATGCTCCCCGTTTTTAGGTAGTGAACCTTCATCTGACCTTGACCTCTGTGTTCACCGCCATTACAGCGGCTTCCAGTAAGTTTCGATCACTGAGGGTTATGACGGCTCCGTGATCTGCATGGACCTTTCCATCACGCAAACAGATGGAAAGTAAAAGTCAAATTATATGTCAAACGCTAGCGAATTTCATGCATGTTTTGACAATTAACACGCTAATCTGCACACTGCTCAAGACGGTTCCGCTATGCACATTGCACCGATCATTCCGCTTTTCTACTCATCTTTGCACGGGAATATTGCAGTGGATATAATCCTGTTTGCGCATTGTATGGAAGGAATATCATATTTACTGTATGTCCGTCATTGCTTATCCCTAGCTTTATGTATGCTTCTAATGTGATTTTACCACCTGCTAATAATTTCAGCAGGTCTTCAAAATTACGGCGTTTGTTTGCAGAGACGAAGTGTCGCTAAGCTGGTATTAACATCGTATTTTTATGCTAACGACGCAATATTTTGAAGTTTCACCAAGTGCCGGATCAATGTTGGGTGGATAGCAGTATTCAAGCCAGCGTCTCTGCTCATTTTTTCGAATATATGACCGGTAGGTGTGGTTCACGATAGGCAGAGAGCTGTGTGCTTGTGTCGATTCGTCTTGATCGGTATCCCTTTATCTTACATTTAACCGTACAATGACTCAACTGCAAACAACACTTCTCAGCGTACTTTTTCAATCTTTTCATGTATAATGCATATTTGTTTGTAACACCATGGCCCGCCGTTCCCTTTTCTCCCTCTCCCCTTCTCCACGCGCCGTGTCTACACTCTATCTCTGTGCGCCGCAGACCCGACGCTGCCGCAGTACTATTTCGTGCCGTCGGAGCACCTGAGTGGCGAGCGGGCCGAGCCGGGCAGCCAGCCGCGGTTCGCCAGCGCTGTGGGCGGCCCCGGCGACCTGTTCCTCTGGGGCCAGGCCATGCTGGTGGTGACGGAGCTGCTGCTCGAGGAACTGGTGCACATCAATGAGATCGACCTGATCCGGAGGTACCTGCCGTCGTACAACCGGCCGCGCCGTACCACGCGCTACTCGGCGTTCCAGGTGCGTGGGGGGCGGGGGAGTGGAGGGGGGACGGGTGGAAGGGTGGAGAGGGTGGACAGGTGGACAGGTGGAGAGTAGGTCTGAAGGCGGAGGACTTGTAAGGTGGACCGATTTAGTGACGGAGATCGGCAGGAGTAAGCGGCGCAATGTGTTCTGGTGCTTTCCGTCAAACTCTCGGGGTCTACGGGGATGTGATGGAGTTATTGGACCAAGCATTCCCTTTGTGGGATGTAGTGCCGTTTAGTAGTTCAAGAAGTAGTTTCTTCAAACAGTAGTGCACTGTTGTTGATGGTAAGTTCAAGTTAGTTTTTTTCTGGCATGTCTGTTGCTGTACCATTTCACTCAAGACGACCTTAGATGGGTGTAGAAGGGTGATTTGGTGTTGGTTTGGTCGTCTTTAAAATATGAGTTCGGTATCGAACAAGTCGTTAACGATTAGCTCGGTGAATGTGCCTTGGTTGTAACCACTCTATCTGGAAATCGTTAGGAATGAACTCTTGTCAAAATTCTTAGTCTTGAAGTTTTTCAAAGTTTTGGGCTGCTGATTACCGGTGGAAATTTCTGAGGAATTCACTTGCAGTGCGAAAAACGCATACATTAGTAAAAAAGGTTTGTGTTTTGTGTGCTAAAGGCTTAATGCAGCGACATAAGATGCATTGCTATGTTTTGCTTGGTTTCGTCATTGCGTTCACCGTGCAACACGGGTGGGCAAAGACTCCTATAATGGCGCATTCTTGTGTAAAAGCTATAGCGTTTATGTACACAGCAATATGCCAAGTGACGTAATCGCTTACAGTTATATCACGCTGTCAACAGTTTACACGCCGCTATTGCCACGCCACAATTTTCCCCGTTGTGTGTGATTTTCAACCCCCGAGGCCACCGCAGCGACTCCCCGTATTCGCTCCGTCTCTGTCTGTCTTTCTGTCTCCCACATACCGGCCAGTGGTCCGTTTGACACCGGCGAGGACCCTCCTGTCGGCAGAACCGAAACGAGGTAACGCCACCGCCCGCAGGGGCGCCCCCCGCCTGTGTCCGCTCTGCATGATACCCAGACCAGTGTCTGCCGCACCGTCAGCTTACGCGCGCGTCTAGCTGAGGTGTCTGCTGGCTGTCCTAGCATACGGAGACCCAGGCGCCTCCCTGCTTCAGAGCCCCGCCTCTGGTGACTGACACACATTGTGGTAGTGGAGGATCTATTACACCATACTGCAGCAACCAGGAGCGTACAAGCCTGTGGGCATCTCCGCCGCCTAGGCACCTATTCACCGTCCGTGATTACTTATCTACCGCCTCTAGGCACCCATGTGAGGCCTGTAGGCACCCATCAAACGTCTGAAGGCACCCATCCTCGATATTGTACAGTCTGTCCATCCTATCGGCCTAGTAGTGATTTGCCTCGCTCAGGCATCCCGCCCGGCCCGGCCCGAACAGTAGCAGTAGATTGGCAGATGGCTCAGCCCAGGACTGCGGAGGTAGTAGTGATAGCATGCAGACGTAATGCCGTATTTGAGACGGAGGCAGGAGTGGCAGGACGAGACTGGCAGACCCCCGGCTCACCCACGCTGTGCGACCTATGCAACAATGACTGTCGTGCAATAATGGAGACCGGTCTGTATGTGTGTGTGCGTAAACTGTGGCTGCGTGTGCGTGTGCGTTATATGTATGTGCGTGTGTCTGTGTGTTTGCGATTAGAAACTCCTGCTCACTGGTTTTTAAGGCAACTGACAAAGCGTTTGTGTGCGTTTCAAGGCTTGTTAGCAGTTAGCGGGATAGTACCTTTGTAGAAACCAAGCGGAAGAGTCTGTTTCAGCTACTAGGGTCCACCAGGGCTCTGTGATTGCTGGACGGAACCCGTGTGTATGTGTGGTGACTAAAATCTGACTTACCAGTTGGAGGGCGGATCGTTGATCATGCCTCGCCCGTGGCGATGTGCGGTGCCTTGATGTTTTTACTTGTACATATGGATGTATCGGTGTACTGGCCGCAATCTTTGTCATTCTGGAATCGCTTTGAAACTTCAGGGTATCGTGGAGTAGAATTTTAAAGTGCATTTGCTGTATGTTAAATGGTGCTCGGGGTACGTAGTGGCGCATGTTTGCTACATGTACCATATTCTGCGCCACGGCAGTGGGCACGATTGTTCACCCTATTGCTACGGCTGTATGCGACCCGCTCTGGCGTGACCGGCAATGTAGGAGCCGTATTTGATTGATTTGGCCAGGTCTGACCTAAGCTAACTTTCAAGATGTATCCAGTGCTTAGATGTAGCCTGACGAACATTTGATGTGTTTTGATGTAATATTTGACGCGAGGAAAACTTGTGACATTTTCGGTGTTGCTGATGGTACTGATTGCTACTTTCAAATGCTGACAATGGAGTTGGTAAAAATATGCGGGACGTAATTTCAAGTGACCTCACTTGGTCCACAGGGCACTGCCAGTGACCTGGAGATCATCTCACCAGACCTGACCTGACCTGACCCCCAGGGCACGGCCAGTGACCTGGTGGTTCAGGTGGCACTGACGCCCTGACCTGACCCCCAGGGCACTGCCAGTGACCTGGTGGTGCAGGTGGTGCTCGTCGCCGAGTCCCGCCGCCTTCAGGCCATGCTGGCCACTTACGGCATCCAGTCTCAGACGCCCAAGGAGGTCGAGCCCGTCCAGATCTGGTCACAGAAACAGCTGGTGCAGGCGAGTCGCACTCCCGGGCGAGGGAGGGATTGTCAGCACATACCGGTTGGTCGTTTCTTTCAGAGGCAGAGCTCGACAGGCCGGCGTTGCAATTCATTTTTTTTACGGTCCATTCGCCAGCGTGCCTAGCTGAACTTAGATATGATGTGAATGGAGCGATGCGATTTCGCGAGTGGGCTGTCTTTCACCCGTACATTACTCTTAACTCCGCCAAACTGCTTTCTTGCAATTACTGATGTGTAGCTTCAATTCATTATTCTCTCTCAGTACCTACTCTTTATTTCGGTATCCGTTGAGCTCTAACGGTGTGTTTGTGATCTCCTGCAGGTGTACCGTAACCTGGGCGTCAACTGGAAGCTGGGTCTGGAGGGCCGTCCGCCCCGGCCAATCGGAGCTCTCGGCACCAGCAAGGTAAGAATCGAATACCGAAAGTTCCCTCGCGTGAAAGGCCAGTAAGATAAGAATGGGACGGGATCAGTCAGAATGTTAACATGACAGCCTTTGATAACAATGTGGTGATCAGAATGTCTATCAAATTGGTTACGAGTTTGTATTATATTCTCATCTTTAGATACGCGTTTTCCTCATTTGTTCCACACCTCATTCGGCCGCCGTTCTTCCCCGCCAGGTGTACCGGATCTCTGGCCAGACGGTGCTCTGCTACCCTCTGATCTTCTCATCTGCCCCCCCCCAGATCTTCAGATCTTCTGACCCAGATTCTGATCTTCTGGTCTGCCCCCGCCAGGTGTACCGGATATCTGGCCAGACGGTACTCTGCTACCCTCTGATCTTAATCTCATCTGCCCCCCCCCCCAGATCTTCAGATCTTCTGACTCAGATTCTGATCTTCTGGTCTGCCCCGCCAGGTATACCGGATCTCTGGCCAGACGGTGCTCTGCTACCCGCTGATCTTCGACAGCACCGACTTCTACCTGAACCACGATATGGCGCTGCTCATTGACGACATCAAGTCTGAGATCCAGTTCGTGGGCCGCTACTGGCGCCTCTCCGGTCGGCCCACCTGCTGTCTCATCATGAAGGAGACGCACATGAGGTAGGACATCGTGGAGATGCGCATGTGGTGGAGTGTCGTGAATGAAACCAAGATGAGGTGGAGTGGCTAGTCCCAGTTTACACGGGAGGGTTTATTCCTATTTATCGCTTGTTTGTCAACTTCTACGGGCTGTTCAGGGCTGGTCTAGTGATGCTCCAATAGCCACACACTGGTGGTCACACACAATGGCCCTTTTTTAGTTCATCAAATTTATCACTGAGCCCTAGACCTTATCACTGTATCTGACTGTATACGCCCCTGCCTCCGCGCAGGGACACCAACTTCCGTAAGATGGTGGACCTGCTGGCCATGCTGAAGACGGGCTCCTGCGAGGGCGTCAAGGTGCGCGTGGGGCGACTGCAGAACCTCATGTCCTCCTCGTGCACCGGTGAGTCGGCAGGCCACCTAGACAGGGACGGCAACGGGGTGCCGGTCAGACGAGCGAAGAGCTAATGTGGACTGTGTGTCTAGCCTTCTCGGTACCATCTGAACATACAATCACAAAGTTACGTTTTGTTGTTTGTTGTTGTTTCTTTTAGTTGTGTCAGAAAGATGGCTTTAGCAAAGAGTCACGGCAGGGGCGTAGGCAGGGGGGGGGGGGCCACTGGGCCATGGCCCCCCCCTTGGGCGCCGAAGGCGCCCTCCAATCGCAAATGCAATTGTAATAGAATCGAATCGAAAAACAATCGCAACTGGAGGGCGCCCAATCGCGAATGCGTTTGCAGGGAAAATACGGTTGGAGGGCGCCCTCGGAGGGCGCCATTCCAAATACGCACTCCAAATACGATTGGAGGGCTCCCTTGGGCGCCCTCCAACCGCATTTGTAGGCTAAAGCTTTCTAAGCGTAGCGGTAGTCGCCTATGTAAGCCTGTTGATCGCTGCCCTCCTACCCACTGGCGCCCTCATTTGATCGTTGTACTCCTACCTATTGGCGCTCTCTGGTAAACAGGCGCCCTCTCACCCGAAGGCGCCCTCCTGTAGGTCGCCACCTTGCCCATACAATGGTGCCCTTCTGCTGGTCGGCACTCTCATAATTATTGGCGCTCTCCCACCAATTGTGCCCTCGTGAAATTTTGATGGCCGCCCTCCTCCCTTTTGGCACCCTCTTGTTGAGTGCCACCCTTCTAGCCATTGCATGGCGCCCTCTTACCTATTGGTTCCCTAGTCCCTCCTGTTGAATGTTAATCGGGGCCCTTCTACCTATTGGCGCCCTCGTGTTGATCGCCGCCCTCCTAACCAATGACGCCCTCCTGTTGATCGCCGCCCTCCTACCCACTGGCACTTTCCTGCTAAATTGGCGCCCTCCCCACAGGTCCCCTCCTGTTTAATGTCATCCTCTTGGGCAAAGGCACTCTCCTCACCATTGCCACCCTCCTGTTGAACTTGATCGTCACCCTTCCACTCATTGGCGACCTCTTGTTGATCGCCACCTTCCTATCTATTGGTGCTCTCCTGTTCCTTGCCGCCCTCTCACCTGGTGGCACCCTCCTGTTGATTGTTGATCGGGGCCCTCCTACCTATTGGCGCCCTCCTGTTGATCGCCGCCCTTCTACCCATTGGCGCCCTCCTGCTGCTTGCCACCCTCCTACCTATCGGTGCCCTCCTGTCGAAACTCGGGATGTTGATCGGGGCTCTCCTACCTATTAGCGACCTCCTGTCGATCGCAGGCAGCCCTTCTACCTATTGGCGACCTCCGTTGATCGCTGCCCTCCTATAATTTATCTACTCCTTTGGCATGTTTCCCAACTTAGCAGTTCTCTTGCACATATTGATGTCTTTCCTGATTTATCTACTTTGTTCATTTGTGGCCTGTGAAAACTGCCACAAATGAACGTGCATTCAGCATAATGAATGAAGCATACCAAAACTGTCTACGCTCTACCATGCATAAAACACGTCTTTGGTCTTAACGGATTGATCTTACTTTACATGCATCATGACATCTATTTTATATGGATCACGATTAAGTATTGTCAACAGGTTCGGCTGCAACAGCAGGCATCAGTTTCAGTGATTGAAGCTGGTTATTTAGGTATTCAACACTGTAATATGCATCTGTGAGAAGGCCATGAGGGCTGGTCGAGGTAATTTGGATGAGAAGCCCGAGGAGGCTAATCAATCTCATGAGGAACAGTCCTGTTATGGTTCACCTATCTTTCTGTTTCTGCCGCCTTCTCGTTGTGCGCTTGTGTTTACGCACCTCGCGCTCCGGTATCAATCCGATATGGTGGTCTGGTGTGTATGCCACCGCCAATAAACTTTTCTGCATCGTCACCCATGGGCGAAGCTTCCTATACAGTTTGTGTGGCACCGGCCCCACCAAACCTTAGGTATTTTTACACCTTCAAATTTGGTAAAAGAGCGAGAAGAGCTTTGAACAGTGAGCACGTAAAATATGTGCCTAAAAGGCGGAGGAAAAGGTTGTTTTCAAAAATTTCGCGCGCCTTCGGCGCGCACAACAACACTTCTTTAGTAGGAACTTATAGCCAATCACTTCCAACCTTTTCGTCACGTGTCAGAATAACCCGCGCCAGGACATTTCTTCAGACATGCGGTAGAAAAATCCCATATACCACTACGCTACGAGCTTCCGTTTTTTCCTGTTGGGGGAGGGAACTGGGTGAGCGGGAGGGGCACACCTTTTGGTACATTACTCTTACACGTGCTTTATAAAATGCAAACCATAGTCGCTAAAAGCAAGGTCATCAGGCCATGTCGAGTGACCTAACTTTAAAAAAATGTTTTAAGCATAGTCACTTAAGCTGAGCGGGTGACTTGACCTTTTGTGACCTGGAGTAAAAACAAAATACACACGATGGAAAATCAATGCAGCATAACCTATACCAAGGTACGCAAAAAAACTGGTGGCGTAGTAAAAAAGGCCTCCCACCCCTCCCCCCTCCGCTGAGCGATCGTTAAGGATTTTTATCTCGCGAACGTATGGCGCCCTCCTTGGGTGAGGTGGCGCCCTCCAAACCCTTGGCCCCCCCTTCGCGATTTTCTAAATACGCCGCTGAGTCACGGCTAAGGTCTATTAGAAAGGAAATAAGGTCCGACATCGTGTAAACTCGTTCGACCCCTAAGCCAGAAGAGATGATAGCCATGACCGCCTCACTGTAAGTCACCTCACTGACAACGGTTTTCCGCGCTGCCCCTCAGAGCACTTGGACTTTATGGACGCCGCTGAGGACTGGGGCGTGGAGCCGGAGCCGTTCCGGGAACTGGCCAACAAAACGGTGGGCTACCAGAGCCTCACCGACATCCCGACGGCGACCATCTACAACGAGACAGAGCCGCTCACCATTCAGGTTAGTGGGGGAGGGGTTACTACAGAGACCATCTACAACGAGACGGAGCCGCTCACTATTCAGGTCAGTGGGGAGGAGGGGGAGGGGGTACCGACCGAGGTCCCGACGGCGACCATCTACAACGAGACAGAGCCGCTCACCATTCAGGTCAGTGTACCTTGGAGTGTACAGTGATGTAGCTGCTGCTATCCTCCCACGTAGAGACTCAGCGGGTAAAGGCTGGACTGAACATCCGCCTTTAGACGTGATGCACGGCTTCACTCCAAAAATAAACCTTTGTTGCTATCATGTTCTGTCTAATGTGCTCCTAGTTTCTCCCTTCGGTGAGCTACACCTGTGTCTGTGACCTGAGGACTATGACCACTTGTGAGGCTGTGACCAGTACCAGCTGTGACCTGTGACCGACTGACCGAACACCTTTCTTCGGTCACAGGAGCTGCAGCACAAGTCTGACCACGAGCTGCAGCACATCTGGCGGGGTATCACCACGCTGCGCGGCCGGAGCTACATCCTCAAACTGCTGCTCGACCGGCACGGGCCCGACTATCAGCTCGAGGGTGTTACTGGTGAGTGGTGGGGGAACGGGGCGGGTCGGGAGGCTGGTGGTGAGAGGATGTGAAGGGGTTCAGAAGAGGGTGAGAAGGGCTTTGCTATTAGTTGATTTAGGGACGGAACAGATATGGGCAGATAAGCTTCCGTCTGCTTTTCTCCGGTGTTAGTAACACGGCTTTTTTCTCTGTTGCTTGTTTGTTTTCATCAACAAACTATTATGAAGTTGGCAAACAAGAGGCGGATTCTGTGAATTACTGGGACGCTTTATTCTTTATGTTAGGTGACACATTCTTAGATAGATATTTTGTGTTTGTCCGCCATTGAGTCTGATTGTGTTCACCTGTCCACGCTGCCGTTTGTGTTTGGTCAGTGCACCAGCGACTCGTTCAGCTCAACAGTGAGGCAGGCACGCTGCGCTGCTGGTCAGTGCTGCGCTTCTGCAGCAGCCTGCTGGGCCGCGTGGTGGACAGCATCAGCCCCTACCTGACGGCCATACTCGTCTCCGGGAAACAGGTCAGTCTCAGACCTCTGAAACCACTCTATAGACAGCATCAGCCCCTACCTGACGGTCATACTCGTCTCCGGAAAACAGGTCAGTACAGGAACCCACAGCCACACCTCAGACATCTAACCCTGAAACTACTCTGTCTAAACTACGGATTAGTCAGAGAGAGAGAGAGCATCAGAACAGAACTACTCAATTAGCATCTCATGCTACTTTCCTCACTCGCCCCCTAGCTACCACGCATACCGTCTTACCCCTTACCCCTCCCCCTCCCCTCCCTCCCCCAGTTCGCTATCGGCGTGATCGGCCAGCCGGAGGTGGTGATTGACAAGCCGCTGACTCCGGCCGAGATCGAGTCGCTGTTCTTCGGCTCTGTGCGTCCGCTGGACGTGGTGCAGGCGGTGCTGCAGCAGGAGCTGGTCCTCTGCAGTGGACGGCTCATCCTCACCCGGCCTGACCTGTTCGCCGGCATACTCACCATCAGGATCGGGTGAGCTGCTCACTATACTCTTCATACTCACCATCAGGATCGGGTGAGCTGCTCACCAAACTCACCATACTGACCATCAGGATCGGGTGAGCTCACAATACTCACCATCAGGATCGGGTGAGCGGGATACGGCGGAGGTGGGGCATCCTGGTGAAGCTAGCGTGAAATACCGTGATATGTAAGTGAGTTGGACGGAGTGGGAGCGTGGCGTGGGGATGAGATGCTAGGAGCGGAGGCTAAATAAGTCTCCAGTCCACGCAAGGGCTTAGAGTGCTGATTGGCGAGAACTGAATGCATCACTTTTGTCTCGTGGCGTTGACATACCGGTATGAACCAGCGAGATGGTATCTCCCTGAGTCTGATGCTACCCCTGTGCGGTACAGTGCGGGCTGTAATGTGCTGCGCGGCTCTGTGACCGTGTACCGTTTCCCCTATACAGCTGGTTCCTGCAGGCCATGGAGCTGTATAGCAGGATCGAGGGCCGCGAGCAGCCCATCGCTGAGATGGCGCCCAGCGAGGTCCGCGCGCTCCTATACAACGTGCTCTCGCTGGACAGCAACTCCTGCAACATCAGGTGGGGAACTGCTGTTTGTAGTCTGACTTCAGGACTGAGGAGCTGCTGCCCTGCAACATGTTCGTGAAGAGACCGTCAGATGGGGATCTGCAATACCTTGTCAGCGGTTCATTTTTGGCAGCAAGCTGCCCAGTATAAGGGTATATTTATCAGGCAGTGGTAATTCTTACAGTGGATGCCTTGCATAATGCATTGCAATGTTACACGTTTTGTCGAATCACGTGTACTTTCATATAACTATCGCTAACAAAGCTGTCATCCCAATTAGGTTAATAAACCATCTGACCCTTGCTAGTCTGCCAAGCTCAAGCTCGCCCCCCCCCCCCCTCCTCTCTCCCTCTGGCAGCATCACGCCGCGCCAGCAGCGTCAGATTGACGGCTGCCTGGGCCGCAGTCCGCGCAACCTGCACAGCTCTGTGTGGTTCATCCTGGGCCGCACAGCCGGCGGCCTGACGATCGGCCAGCGCCACCTGCCCCAGTCGCCCACCATCACCGACATGACGGTCGGCGAGCTGCGGTTCGCCATCCTGGTGAACGATATGCTGGCCCAGTGTCCGCAGCCGGAGCTCCGGCAGATCGTGGTGCAGGTGCGGACGCGGCGCGGGGAGGCCTCCCAATGGAAGACTTCCTCTGAAGGGGGCTTTTTCGAGGGGGGCGGGGGTCGGATTGTTGATGGTTATCTGTTCGTAAAAAAATTGGCTGTACAATCTGCTGCCTTTATAACTTAACCTTTTTTTCCTATGCGCATCCTGCACTTTTTCCACACGCGTACGAATCCCTGTCCTTAACCCTTCTTACGACCCTGAAGACCGACTGATAACCTCCCCTCCCTTCGACAGCTGATTGCGCTGATAGCCACCATCCTGGAGCGTAATCCGGAGCTGAGTTTCCGCGGCTGCATCGAGCTCTCCCAGATGGTCGACGAGGCGCACCGGCTCTACCTCAAGGTGAGGTGTGACATTGGCTGTGTGGTGTGGGACAGATGGGGAGTCGCAGACGGGACACTGACAAAAGAGCTGGGGCATTCCACGATAGATCGTACCAGGCCCGTCACCCTCATCTCTCAGATTTGAATGAAAATTGGTACTAGGGGTAATCATAGGCTCCAAAAACACCTGTCAAAATTTCAGACTTCTCAGATGAAAACTTTTTGAGCTACATTGCATAATATTTTCTAAACTTCAGATTGTAAGGGTGAGTTTGATGAGCTATAACTCAAAAACGAGCTAAGCAAGCAACAAACGGTAAACAGCTTTGAACTAACGGTGAATCAAAGATTAATACAGCTTTTTTAAAATTGGAAAGAAAAGCTTTTAATATTGAAAAAAGTCGTAATATTTTTTGAAATTGTCTATAACGGCCCTTGGGACCAAAAATTTTGCCATTTTTATTTCTTCAAAATAAAGTTTAGGTCATTTAAAATCGACATGCAAAAAATTAGAAAGGTGTTCTTTCTATAAGTTTCTCATTTTAATGCATACAAAATGGGTTTCCGGGGGTCGTTTCGCCTCTAATGGAGCTAGAACCTTGCGGAAAAAAACGAGCATGTGCGCCGTTACAAGATGCACCGAATGATACCACATTTTAAGGTCTCGGGTTCATTGGTGACCCCTGAAGGTCATTTCAAGTGACCCAAATTACGGGTCCGGTTTTTGGTAGATAACTTCGCAACAAATGGTCGCAGAGCCCCAGTTTTAGCATCTTTGTGTTTGCCTAGCACCGGCGCGTCGAATGGTATACTGTTTATTCTGGTGAGGTCAGCTTAAGTTGCTGACCTCGGGTCAGCACACTGCCGTGTATTTGGCTCCGCTCCCCGACCGGGCGGCCCAGCCGGCAGCCAGCCGCCGGGCATCACGTGACCGCCCCGAGTCCGCGGCAAAGCCAACCAGCGCCGCCACAGAGATGGTTAACAGTCGGGTCAGGCCACGAAGCTGGGTGAATGAGATCATATTGCACATCATTCGATTCGCAAGGTCTTCCTGAGTCCATTGGTAGCTTTCCCGTCTCTCTAGCTCAATTTGATCGAGAGTTATTGACGAAAAACTCTTATGACCCTAGTGACGTACGAATGACGTCACGCAAGGTCAACAATGCAAACCTGAGGCAAAAATGACTTCAATTGGACTTTCAGTAACCAGTGATGTCACTAGGCAGCTTTACCACGCCATTTGTAGGCTCTCTTCCCGAAATCACAATTCGAGACCATTACTGTGACGCAAAATTAGTACATTTATAGAAAGAACACCTTCCTAATTTTTTGCATACTACTTAATAATGATCCAAAAATGTTTTTAAGTAAATAAAAATTCAAAAAAATTTGGTCCCAAAGGCATAAAAATGCAAATGAAAGGACACTCGATGTGTTATATATCAAAAATAGTTTATATTTCAAAATTTTAAAAATGCATATTATTCTTCGTTTCAATGCAAGTTCAATGCCGTATAACATTTGGCATTTGGATTATCCGTCTTAGAGTTACAGCCCGCCAAACTTGGCGCTGCAACGCAAGATCCAAAACATGTTATACATTATAACTCAAAAACTACTCATCGGATTAGCCTGAGATTGTCACAGGAGGATTCAGAGCCCCTGATGGTATACTAGACCAATTATCGTTAAAATCCGAGAGATGAGGGTGTCAAATTGGAAAAAAGTGGTACGATCTATCGTGGAATGCCCCAGCTGCTGGGTGGGATGCTATCTTTCTGTCTGTTAGACAATAAATGCTACGTTGGGTTTTGAATATGACCATTCATATGAATCGTACGTTAGTTTTCGTTCATTCCATGTTACCGTTCTACGTTAAAAACCAGTATAACGCCTTTTGGGGCGACTAACGGAGCGAGCGAGAGGGTGAGCCTTGCACGTGCGAAATTTCGAGGGGGTACCTCCAGCTGACTTGTGCACGGCACCCTACTAACCGGTCTCTAGCGATGTGCCAAATTTGAGCACAATCGGCCCAGCCGTTCTCGAGATCTGGAAGCGGCACCCTGCACGTGCGCACGTGCAAAATGGGTCCCAACTGACTTTTGCACGGCACCCTACTAACCGGTCCCTAACCATGTGCCAAATTTGAGCGCCATCGGTCCAGCCGTTCTCGAGATCTGGAATCGACCCCTGCACGTGCGCACGTGCAGAAGCACCCCAACTCTGGCACATGGATATGCATTGCCTAGTGGGTGCCTACCTACATGCCAACTTTCAGCGCAATCGGCCAAGTAGTTACCGAGATATTGCAACAATTACAAAAGTGACACCTCTTCGTTTTGCACGTGGCACGTGCATAAGGGGTCACCCACATCCATCGGGAATAGTCCAATACTTGGTAGAAGGAATGAAGCTACCCTACAAAAATTACCGCATGTAAATCGGTCAAGTTGTTGCTGAGATATAAGCGTCGCAGAATCGTGACCACGGCCGGCCGCTCATACTCAGAAATTTCCGTTATTCTACGTAAAGCCGGGTTCACACCGGTTTTCCGGTCCGGAAAAATTCCGTCTGCCGGGCCGGCACCAAAATGTTGAAATTGTCGCTAGATGTCAAAAAAAGTCGCTAGAACCGGAAAACCGGAAAGTCGAGCCGGAAATGTCATTCTAAGTACGATAAGTAGGTACCAAGCAATCTCGCGAATTATTTTGAAATCGCACATGCTTGTGTGACGGCTTTACAAGTCACTGATGCAGTTCCATCCAACCGAAAATCATCCATCCTTCACTGGTAGGTATATTAGCAACATTAATACAATTTAACATTTACAGCATGCGGGCTAGCATAGATAACATGAACTACCTGCTGAGTTACTGTAATGGGAACAAATTTAACACCTTTTCTTTTTTTGCACTTTGCACGTGCAGCGGGGGTCACTCACGTGCACCAAGAGTATCCAATGTTTGTTAGAAGGGATACAGCTACTCTACAAAAGTTACCGCAAGTCAATCGCCCCAGTGGTTACTGAGATATAGGCCTCTCAAAATTGTTACCCCAGCAGAACGACTTGAACACCCCGACTTTTCACGTGCCACGTGCCACGACGGTCACCTGAATGCATCACGATAAGTGAATTGCGGAGCAGAAAGGATGGAGCTACCCAACAAAAAAGACCGCAGGCGAATCGGCCCAGCGGTTACTGAGATATCAGCCTCTCAAAATACTGATTAAAAATCCGTCATTAAAAATAAGAGGCCAAAGTGGCCTCTTATTTTTCGCGCCAAAAACGAGTGTCCAATCCAGGTAGTTCATGTTATCTATGGGGCTAGGTATCGACTAAAAGACACTGATTTATTTCAATCGCGCTTTGGCTGTTGTTGGTTTAAAAACACTTGTGAACAAAGAGGAATTGAGTGCTGGGCAAGGCGCATTAGAGACGGCGAGCTTGATATTACGCTTGCTGATGTAGATGGCTGGGTCTCAAAATCGGTCATCTGACTGTCACTGACTCATACCGCCATAACCCGCGCCCCGCTGGGGGTCCTAAATTTCCACGCCTTGCTGGCGTGGGAATTTAGGACCCCACGCCAGCAAGGCGTGGGGTCCTAAATTATTATTTTAATCCTAAATTTTTGTTATTGATTTCCAAGGATAGGAAATCAATAACACCCCCCCCCCTTCTAACTCGGCTCCTGGGCCACGCAGCGATACGGGGAAGGCGGCGTTCGAAAGAGTGTCAAAAATAATGACGAAATTAATTTGGTCACTTTTTTGGTCAAATCAAAGGTCAGGTCACCAGAGGTCATGGAAAGCCGAATTTCACCGATTTTCAGGTCGAATGTCGACGATTTACAACAAGCCAACGCATAACTTGGCATCGATTTTCTCCCATTGACTTATAATGAGGAGTTCACAAAATTGACCTGACCTTAGGTCACAGATATCAAAATTCCGAGATAGTTATTTATTTAAATTGTGTACATATTGTTGCCCTTATCAATCGCTGAGAGTTTCAAAGAGGTCGGTCGCTCGATGTAGCTATGGAAGACGTTGAAACTTTGTATGAGGTGAGGTCACTTGAAGTGACCTGGTGACCTGACTTTAAGTGACCTTGGTCTACAATTTTTACAACATGTGCAGAAAAGATGCATGATAAGGTGTGCCAAAAACAGCCGCCGTTTTTGAGATATTCGCGAAAAACCACAGGGAGGGTTCAAAATTCAAGTACCCCCCCCCCCACGCCCACCCCCACCCCCAGCCCCCAGCAGGGCGCGGGATAATATCCTTGGCATTCAGCACCATCGCATTTCCTGAATCTTCTACTTGCGATTGAATGGCAAAACTGCCTCCACCCTCCCGAGCTGCTATGTGCTTGTGTAGGAGGGCATCGAGGGCAGAGAAGTGTTGTCAGCGCGTCTTGTAGAATGTAGATTTCAGAATCTGCTCGGCTGGCTCCACTTCGTAGACGACGAAAGTTAAGCAATAAGCAATACGTACATTGTGCTACCTGTCCTGCGGCCGGCTCCAGCGCTTGCTAATCTCTTCTGCAGATACTGGCTCCGCTCTTTCTACAACCAGTAAAACGCCTTTTGGGCGAAGAACGAGCGAGCGAGATAGCGAGCCCTGCACGTGCGGAAGGGCGAGAGGGTACTTCCAACGGGCTTGTGCAAAGCACCCTTCTAACCGGTCGCTAGCGGTATGCCAAATTTGAACGCAATCGGCCCAGCCGTTCCTGAGATCTGGAAGCGGCATTCTGCACGTGCGCACGTGCAAACGGGGTCCAAACTGACTTATGCACGGCACCCTACTAACTGGTCCCCAACCGTGTACCAAATTTGAGCGCAATCGGCCCAGCCGTTCTCGAGATCTGGAAACGCCCCCTGCACGTGCGCACGTGCAGTAGCACCTTAACCGCAACATATGGGAATGCATTGCCTGGTGGGTGCCTACCTGTATGCCAAGTTTCAGCGAAATCCCCCCAGTAATTACCGAGTTATTGAAATGGGAACAAATTTGGCACCTCTTCTTTTTGTATTTTGCACGTGCAGTGGGGGTCACTCACATAGATCAAGAGTATCCGACCTTTGGTAGAAGGGATGCAGCTACCATACAAAAATTACTGCAAGACAATCGCCAAGCGGCTGCTGAGATATGACCCTCTCAAAATCACTACTTTTGCAAAACAACTTGAACACCCTTGACTTTTCACGTGGCACGTGCCACGACGGTCACTGAGATGTATCAAAAGTAGTCAATTACGGGGTAGAAGGGATGGGGCTACCCAGCAAAAAAGACCGCAGGCCAATCGGTCTAGCGGTTGCTGAGATATAAGCCTCTCAAAAGCGTTACAGGCCGGGCCGGGCCGGGCCGGGCTGGGCCGCTCATACTGAGATTTTTCCGTTATATTGAAAAGACTCGCTTCGCTCGCTGCGCTCGCTCGCTCGTAACCAGGTAACCAGCGCGTCCGCAATGTTGTTCCACAAATTTGCCCTTCTCACCGCTTCCTTATAATATTTATTATTTTTTTATAAAGCCATGGATATTTTCCAACCAATGAAATTAATTTATAATTTGAAAAGGCAATGAGTCATGTGAAATACAAAAACAGAAGTGTAGCTGTCACTCCGTTTGAGATGCAAATGTTTTGAAATAAAAATGAAACGCCGTCAAATTTACGCTTGAATTTTATATTCTCGTGAAAAATCGCGAGACTATTAGGGCACCGTTGGTTAAATTGGGCCTGTAGCGCTGAAACATAACATTATTTCCCTCGTGCCTTAATTTCATATCACAAACGGTGGCTATCCGGCAAGGCAAAAGTTGAGATGATTTCAACTTCTTGCCGGACCGGAAAATCTGGCTCTCCGGCCTGCCGGACCGGTCAAAAGAAGTTGCCAGATTTGCCGGTTCACACCAGTTTTCAATTTTCCGGCACGGAATTGGCCATTTTTCCGGCCCGGCAGACGGAATTTTGCCGGCCCGGAATCCGGTGTGAACCCGGCATAAGACTCCGCTCGCTTCGCTCGCTCCGTAACTAGTGTATTGCAGAAGATACCCTTACAGTCGAACCCTTTCAGTCGTTCGTCGGAGCAGTTTATCAACTAAAATCACTAAACCCCAGGGCACATAGTGAGCTGTCGATTTGCTCGGTTCAGTCGGCCCCAATCAGCTCCCTATAATCAGCTCCCACAGACAGTTCTGTCTGTGGTCGTTCTACCGACCGGTCTACCGCTCTCTACCAGGACGTGAACCTGCCCCTGCCATACGGCCGAACTGACGTGTTCCGTCGACGGTTCGTGTACGCGGGCTCCCGGCGACACAGCACGGTCGGAACAGAGGTCCGCGAGGCGTGCACCCTCGGGGCTCGGCGTGCGGGGCGTGCAGGGCGTGCAGGGCGTGCGGGGCGTGCAGGCGGTGCAGGGCGTGCTTACCTGAGCTGGTCATGCGCTAGTTGTGTCCGATATAGACGGTTAGGTGTTGAACGGTTACTACCGAGAAAGCAGTCAGGACACTGTGTGTGTAGTGTATGTATAGTGACTAGTAATCATCCGGGCTGTAATTGCCACGTAGATCAGAAACACGTTCACACACATGAGCACGAACGGTACAGTCGGGAATCATGTGCTGTGATCAAGTCGGGCACTGCCACTCCGTCTGAGAAACACGATGAGCTTTGTTCGTCTGAACTGTGTGGGCTTGTTGGCCCCTAAAGGCTTTTGTATGTGTGTTGTGACTAAGCCATATGGAGTGCTGATTGGTGACTAAGCTCTTAGCGCTTCTTATGCTTTGAGGTGGCTTCTCATGCCTTTGAAGATCTTTGGCGATCGCTTGTTCGTTGACCAGTGTATTGGCACAGACTCTGAGCTGGCTTTTCCAGGGTGGCGACGCTTTAGGCACCGCGCTTCCTTGGATTGGATTTAATGCACTGTCCTACGGCAGAGAGACTATGAAGCTTCTGGCGTCCGTCTTGCTTTCTGCTTCTTGACATCTTTTTAGACTTTCCATCAGAGCTACATACATGTTTTTCCTTTTCACAAGCAAGTTTGATGTGCCTGGTCGATAATCTTCTTTGAATTGAACTCATAAAATTAGTGACATTGAACTTCTTAAACTGCTTTGATGTTTATGTTGTATGTTATCTTTTGACTTTGACTTTCTATTCAGAATAGTGCTGGACGGTTTTTTGCTCTCATTTTTGACTCAATGCTACCATTCTTGCCAGCTACTCTTTAACCACATACATCACCCCGCCCCCCTGCTACCCCTTCTCTGACACCCCTCCCCTCCCGTCCCTCTTCTGACAGGACGGCGGCGAGGGCGGCACGACCAGTGAGCTGGACGGGTTCTTCCAGCTGCCTCCGTCAGCCACCGCCGGCTACCTGGCCCGGACTGTGGTCCACCACTTGCTGACGCGGCCCATGACGGCCCTGGACGACATCGACGCCACGGCCGCTCTGGAGAGCGCCGCCGCCTCGCCGCAGGCATGTAACATCGCCTAGGGGGACGGGGAGGGAGAGCCGGAGAGAGAGATAGGTGATGGGTGGAGTTTTCAGAGGACGGAGCTGCGTGCTAGGAGCTAGTGTTTTGTAGATGGCTAGAGACTGGAGAGTCGAGATGCGCTAGGGATAGAGATCAATGAGGCCAGTTGTTTGACTGGTCAAGAGTGAAGACTGAAGCAGGATTGTTGACTTTTTTAAGTGGATGAACAGAAATTCTTTGATCAAGCCTTGGGCTGGCTGTTGTAACTAATCGTAGGATCTGCTGCTTCGGATAGCCAACGAGACAACGGTCAGAAAATTGTGGTCGCTCGTCACCTGAGCTGCCCCCAGGTTTGAACGCTTACCCTATGTCACCCGACGACGTGCTCTGTGTAGAGCCCCTGAAGCTCACGATATGTGTTCGTACGCGAGCCGGGTGCGCCGGACGATACCAAGGAAGAATCCCCTGCTGTGGTGGCAACATAATCCAGGGAGGTTCTGGTAGAGACTGGCAGAGAGGTACTGTACTCTCGTCACGTGGGCAAGTCTCGTGCTTCGTGCCGCAAGGGGGCATATGGACGAACACGTGAAGTGCAATACGTGCCACGTGAGGTGTGGTGCTGCAGATTGTGGCTCGTGCTACGAGTTGAATGCAGGATGTGGTAACACTGCTAGATGAACAGTGTGAGAGATTAGAATGTGCGACGCGCAAATGCTTGAAGTCATGCCTTGTGCTTTCGCTGGTGCTTCATGGCAACGGATAATCGTCACGGGTTTCATATTCGATGCCTTAGATTTTGATTTGTGTGTAGATGTATAAGTTTGGGCTAGTTTTCTAAAATGCTGAATGTATTGTGCTTAGAACCGCCAGTCGGTCATGAAGGGTTTTGTAGAGGCATATTGTGCCGCCTTGCTGAGGTGTTAGTGACACTCTACGGTATGTTCGTGAATTGATAGCTTACGTGCTTTGCATTTGCGAGTCTAATAATTGCTGCTGCTGTTTCAGAATTTGTAGACAGCAGGCGCTTGTAAATCATTGTAAAGGGAGCTGTTATTTGAGCTGATATCGTAGTCATATGCTTAGTCCTCCAAACTAACCTAGTCTGAGCTCACATGTATGATATTAACCACACCGTAGATCAGTTCGGTCTGCGATAGTCGAGCCAATCAGGGATGTCTGTAACTGACTTACTGCGTGTCTGTGTACAGACTTGTCAGTGTTGAGTGTTTTTGGGCCAGACCCGGGCCAGTACCCCGTCGTGCCATCCATGACAATTTTTGTCATCCTCATTTGTAATTCCCTCCCCTTATGTATAGCCCGATCAAGTAAGCGCGCAGCCCGCCCGCCCGGTGAATCTCAGATGTGTTGCGGGTTGCTTTGTCTGCCGTGACAGTACACCCATCCCGTACTAATGACCGTGTGATAGAGCCTCGTCACTTGGCCCCGGTCATTTCCGCTTCCTCTCCCCTAACTGACTGGCGGTTTACGGTAGTCACGGTAGGGGAGAGTGGGGTAATTTGGCCGCTTTTTTTAGAAAACGATGTAACTAAAAATCGACAACACATTTCTGCATTTTCTCAACGCTGACAGGTGTGGCATACATTCTACTTTCTTGGACAGTAAACTTGAAATGATTGAGTAACTACTTATATTGAAATCGTGGCGTATTACAAAGGTCTGCAAAGCGGCCAAATTGCCCCACTAGCAGGGTTATTTGGCCGGGGGTGTGGGGTAATTTGGCCGGTGTTAGTTTGAGGCCATGATTTTTGTTATAGGCGAGTCAGCTTCACATTCAGGAATGACGCGTGTCCTACGACGCATTTGAAGCATTTTGGAGGTTGACTCAGCCGTCAGAGGAGTCGAAAATAGTCAAAATAGCGGCTCTAGATGCGATGACAGTTTTTTACGAATAACTTTTGAAGTAATCAAGCTAGGCCAAAACCAAAAGCACAATCGTAATTCCCTCGTCATTCCGCATCGAAACATGCATGTGTTGACCTCAAGAGGTCAAGGTCAAAGGTTGGCTTCAGGTCACGTTACCTCAGGTCGATTGACCTCAAGGTTACGTGAGTTCAAGGTCATCATGTATATCATTCGATGCGCCTTGACGAGCTGAACACAATGAGACCATTTGCGTGGCTGTATCTTTTTTCTGTAAGTATTTATTAGCAAAAAAGCGTTAGGTAACCTTTGATGACGTCACATGCCCTTACAGCTGTCCAATAGGAAATATGGCATCAAGGTAGTCAAAGATGATCATGAATTATGTCCTTTATGGTATAATTGACCATGACAACTCGGCCGTCCCAGCATAGTGACTCTGAGCGCACCGGCCAAGTTGCCCCGCTAGTCCCGGCCAAATAACCCCACATTGCCATTCTGAAAATTTTTGTCTATAAAGTCGTCATGGCTGTACAGAACTAGATGAAATTGCTCTTGGGACCGCTGAACACCCTCAAAAATGGCGCTATAATGTTGGAATTCGTTTATAGCCCAAATACTACATGTTATACAAATTTTTAAACGGAAGTAAAAGTTACCATTTTCTAACGTAATTCACCTTTTATTAATTTTGAATAAAACTAAGAGGGGGAAAGTTTTGACATTTGTTCTCGAGTTAGTCCTGCCGATGACAAATGAATAGAGACTAAAGTTATTTCATTCACTTTTATCAGCTTTCGTACAGGTGGGGGCGGCCAATTTACACCACCGGCCAAATTACCCCACTCTCCCCTACATCTAATTGACGCGTGAACCCGCGGGTTGAACTAGCGCGCCCGGCCGCCGATCTGATGGGTGGTATACTGTATAACCTCTCTTTACACTTTGTCCTGTCCTCTCGACTCACTTCCCTGCTGTGTTCTAGGTAACTTTCGACTGTCGAGACCATCCTGAGCTATCCGCCGCCTCCTATCACCTCCCCGCCTCCTATCCCCCCCCCTGTCCTCTCCATGTCCCTATCTCACCCCTGTCTCCTGTCCTCTGCCCTCACTTCCCTGCTCTGTGTTCCAGCTAACCGTCGAGACCATCCTGAGCTATCCGCCACCCTCTGTCCCCTCCCCGCCTCCTATTTACTCCCTCCCTGCCCTACCCCTGTCCCCTGTCCTCTCCCCTCACTTTCCTGCTCTGTGTTCCAGCTAACCGTCGAGACCATCCTGAGCTACCCCCCTCCGAGCCTGCCCAGCTCCGATTCTCCGGAGCCGCCAGAGCTGCCGGCCACCCAGTCCTCGTCCTCCTGGCCGGGAGGAATCCTCACGGAGTTCCTCGGCACTGTCCTCTCGGAGGACGGCACCATCTGAGAGGTAATGGGACGGCCAGAGAGTCCTCCCTTGTGGAGTCCTCATGGCGTCCTCTCTACTCTCCTGTCCTCTTTCCCCAGCTGTGCGTGTCAGTGGACGGATATTAGATACAATACTGCTTGCCATTATCCCAGCTTTTTGTATTATCGCGCCTGTGCTGACGAATCATGGAACTGATTGCGGTGGGCGGAAGGAAACTGCTATAACTGTCACTGATGCATTGCTATGTCGTGTTACTTATAGCACATGACCGTGTGTAGTGTGTATATTGGAACTACGATGAGCTGAAAACTATCAGAAAATGTACAGATGCATCCCAGCGCAGGATTTGTGCGCGGAGCTGCATTGTCGCTTCCGTACCGGACTGTTCTGCAATACATATGTGTTGTAAATCGGGTACCCACAGTCTTATTCTTCTTCCTTATTCTGATTCGTCCGCCCCAAGGCAGCGGACGAAGCGTGTGGAATCGTTGGAATTTAACCATATGGCGCGCTGAAGCGATGATCTTACGGACATTCGTCTCATTGCTTTTTTACATTGTTTCAGAGACGTTCATACAAGCACGCATCGTGTACAATGCGTCCGCTTTATTGTGAACTGAAACACTGTCAGACCCACAGCCCACACCCGTCCTCTACCAAATGCCCGACCCGCAGTGCCAGGCCGCCTTGTAAACCCCGCTGTCCGCCCGCTATAGTCCAACTACCTCCCCGCAGTGAATACGCCCAGTGCCCTGGCGGCCAGCGCCTCGACCCGGTCTGCCATCGCCTCTTCATTGGGTGGCTCGGGAAACTGACCGGCCAGCGGCTGGCGGACGAACCGCAGACGCGCACCTCGCTGAGGAGAGCGGTCCCGGGTCTGGTCCTCGTCCTGGTCCTCAGACGAGTCTTGGTCTTTGGCCTGATTCTGGTCCTCACGAGCTTCTTCACGCCTGCAAATTGAAATGCTGGTTAAGACATGCGCTTGTTCGTGGCTCATGCTGGCTTCTTGATACACCCAACTGTCTGATGAGTATTTTAGCTGGAAAATGAGCAGGTGCAAACATAACAGTTCCTTCTCTCGTCTCTACACTCAAACAAAGTCCTGCCTCTGGCCTTTCGCGCCCACCGTTTATAGACATTTGTGAATTACTGTACCTCTCACTTCGTGTAGTGCTGCTCTCGATACAGTCTGGCTCCAGAAGGTTGAAGTAGAGCTCTCCCACTAGTTGTGAATGCACCGTGGCAGCCTTGACCAGACAGTGGAAAAACGCAGCATCACATTCACAGTCTGACCTGAAAACAAACGTCTGGTCAGTTAGGTATTTGGGCCAATGCACGGATGAAACGGCGTCAGACAACATGAAATGCTAATGCGACATGGTTACAAATATAACGTAATCCTTTTCCATTGTTTCTTACGAGGATTTTAGCAATAAACCACGGTAGACCAAACACGGTATATTGGCAACGACCGTGATGATTACGAAAGCTGTATGGCCGGTCAGGACTAGATGTTGAACAAACAAACAAGTAAACACTAATCCCCAGCCGACTGCTGTCAATCTGCCTTTCCCTCACCACTGCCCCCCCACCCCCACCCCCTCCCCCGCCCCCGCTGACCGTGTGAAGTGCCCGGTGTTGGTGACACCGCCCCGCGCCTCCCCGGCTTCCAGCGACACCGGACAGTGGTCGTGCTGCCGACAGCAGAGGTCGGTGGCTCGCGCCGACCCCAGGTCGTCGTAGCTGGTGGCACTGGTGCCCGTGCCGCACCACTTGGTGTCTGTGGAGGAGGGAGGGGAGAGAGAGAGAGAGAGAGAGAGAGAGAGAGAGAGAGGGCGCGCGCGCGCGCGCGTGTGATTGATGTTTGTGGGAATGCGGGTAATAATCGATCTATACCGTATGTTTCGCTCGGATGAATATGACAGAATCTGAAGCTGAGTTAGATTGAGGGCTTGATGAGAGATGACTTCGCTGCAGGATCGGTTAAATGAATGAGATAGGTTGAAATGGATACAATTATCGTCTCAATAAGTGGGCCAGATTCGAGGTGAATTTTGTGGAGTTATCAATCCTATGATCCTATGATGGAATATTTACCCGGCATTTTCGCAGTGCTGTTGGCTAAGATGTCTGTCCAGATGTCGTCTGTGGACCGTTTGGTCCTCCTCGCCGGTCCACATAGCAAGGTCCGGCCGGAGAACCTACCACAGGAGGTGCTGGGTCAGGCCCGGTCTGATGTGCTGCAGGCTGTCCCAAGTGACCCCTGTAATTTGACTCAGCAGTCAACTGCGTAGGCGCGGTTCTTTCATGAGATTTAATTGAGATCCGTCAATTTAACTGCGTTGAATAATGAAAACTTTGGAACTTGTGCCCTGCCGCTTTACAAAGAGACCTACCAATGATTACCCTTTTACGTACGTTTGACAGAAGCTGTGCAGGACTGCTTGAGTGTGTTCATCTCGCTCTGAGCTGGCCGGCAGCTGTCTGGGAGCAGCTGCCGCCGGCTGCAGCGGCTGCAACAGCTCCAGTACCCCGACTGGGGACAGGGGTTAGGGTGATTGAACCAGTTCTCAATGCCTCGCGATAGTGAACACGACGATATAACACCTGAATAATTATCAGCAGCACTTTGTTGCTGAGTTTCCATCAGCCCATACCATGAACTGGGGCATACCCCAGCATTAGGCCATAGCGCACAATAAGCTATAGTTGCCCGTCATTCACGTGGGTGAGTTGACAATGTGACTGGGCGGACGGGCGCTCTACGGGGCTGCATTCGATGTGCTACGTCAGTAGTAATTAGTGATTGCCGGCGTAGTACACCAGTCGATACAGTGATTGTCCACAGAGAGGCGGAACCATGCCAGAACGGCTCTGGACAAAATGCACTCGACATATGAAAACTACGAAAGAATGTTCAGTGATGATATCTCCTTTGGTAGAAAACGGAGAATACTTATTTATAATAGGAGGGCAGCCGGCAGACAAAATATAGATGCAAGTGCGATCCATCGCCACTTCAACTCACACATTGATAGCACCACTGCCAGACTGCAACGCATGGTGTCTCCCCTGTGTGCTGAGGTCCACCGCCGTGACCTCAGCTGACCGGTCACCGTCCACTGACGACCGCTGTGTCCGCTCACCGTCTCACCGCTCTAGTATCTCACTCTGTCACTAATATCTCACAGTCTCACCTCACAATCTCACCCTCGCGGTCTCTCCCCGTTCTCCCGACCTAGCCTCCCGTACCGCCCGGCTGCGGCTGTGTGCTACACCTGTGACCCCACTGCGCGTACTACACTGATGTCTGTCCCGCCGCTCCGAACTCAGGGGGGGGGGGTGGGGGGGGGGGGGGGGTGACAGTGTGATCCGGAACAAAACTCGCCGGCATTGACCTGGTCGCGGCCCGCCCAATCCGCCCCCTGTGTGCCCCGTCATTGAGTGGCGGGGGGGGGGGGACTAGCTGGTGATGAACTGATGACGGTCTGTCGGGTACCTAAGTGAGGTTAGTTTTTAACCCGGACCTTGACCGTATCACTGTGACTCGGAGTGAGATTGGGGGAAGTCGAGTCACACGTCAGGGTCGTGCTAAGCGCTATCACGCTTTATGGTAGTGTTGATAGACTGATAGAGCGCAAGCCGCAAAGAGCGGTAGGTAGAGTCTAGTCCGGGGGGGGGGGGGGGCTATGCTTCACCAGTAGACGTATCGGAGATACGTTGCAATTGCATGACGTCTGGGGGGTCAGAGATGCCGCACGTCACTCGAATTGCATCATAATTCGCCGGAACTGACTGGGCTGTCCCCTGACGATGTCCCGGGGGGCTGGAATATCGCTGAACATGTGAAAGTCGAGCAGCAGTTAGGTATGTTTGTCTACTGCAGCGTCGCGACGTATTTGCAGTGCTTTTAGAAATGTTCTTGCGAGGGGCTTTGCCAGTGGTCAATGCATCCCTCCCCCCAAAATGGATCTACATCACGACCTATTTCCTCGTTTCTGGTGATGCACGGTACGGGGCCCTGAAAGCATCGTGCAGAGCTGCTGCTGCCCTGACCGTAGTGGTGCGACATCTATCAGATTTTTCCTCTGCCATCTACAGGAGGCCGTTTGCGTTCTGTGTTTGATAAAGAAATGTAACGTTGGTGAAGGCAAAGTTAATTATAAATAAATGATGACGAAAGGTGGTTAATCAATAGCCACTGACTCTAAAAGTAATTTAAAAGTTTGATCAAAATTTCTTATCAGGCACAAACGGGTTGAGGACCTCAAAGGGTCATGCAAGGCTAGAACTCAGAAATGTTTTATTATTGACCACGCCATATTTCCTTCACATGTCTAGTTGACACGGCTGCCAAATTGTTTGTGTGTTTACAACCGTGCACGTGTCGAGTGCTGAGATGGGGTGAGACTAAATGCTTACTTCGAAATCTAAGCTGTGTTGCGGCATTGGCGGTTATGTGCGGCGTGTATGCCGCATGATTAGTAAGCGGCGGCCACTATATTAAAGACTTAAACGCTCCAACCTGTTTTCAATGAATAACACTGCATACCAAAAATGCCAATCGCTCTCGTCATAAGATATTTAGATTGAAATAACTAAGTTATCTGCATCATCATTTTGAACCAAATTATTGCTTTCAACTTAGTAGTCACTCATTCCTTCCTTCGTTGGCTCCAAACAGTCTTTCGATTGTCTGGAAATCGTATGCCAAATCCCGCACCTGTATACGACTGGTGCATATAAAGGCCGATGTAAGAATTTCAATAGGCTCTCGCATGCGATTTCCTGGCTACCCAAAAAGTCTGTTTCAGTCATGCTATCAAAACATGGTATGTCAGCCCTGTCACCAGCTTATGACTGCTCTGCTTGTAGTGCCCCTGACCGTCACCGACTCCCTTCCCTCCTTAAAAGCCTAGTTTCCCTCCATCATCTCTACTAGATTTAGGTGATGCTCCGACAAATTCACAAACAAGACCGAACTTGTTCGGAGTTCGGACTGTGAGTTAACCCTCGCCCTTTAGGGGGGGGGGGGGTCGAACGGACTCCCCTCGGTTTTTCGCGAATAACTCGCGTAAAAAGCGGCCGATCACGACGTAACTTTAAGGACCCTCGCGTTGATCAATTTTACACCTACCCTGAAAATTTCATGACCCTGACGCAAATAACCTTTGACCTGTGACCTACTTTTCGAGACCATGTTTGGCCGGAACCGCGATTCAGCGTATGTCGGCTCGCATTAGCAGCGCGTTTGCAGTCTTTTCGTGGTTTCAAGCGTTCAAACATGTGATATGATCTTGCCCCAATGCATTAGGGTGGGTGTCAAGGTCACCTGAAGGTCAGGTCAGGTCATTGACCTTTGGTGACCTCGGTTCACTTTTTCGAGTTTGACATGTTTCTAGGCCAGTTTTTCGACCTGAATTCGAATTTAGCAACCACATGAACGTTTACAAAGTAGTTTTGGTGCCTTCGTAACATGTTACGAGGCTGTCAGAGGCGGTTGACACCTACTACAAATACGCGGCAGGACCTCTACTGGTTGACCTGACCTGACCTGACCCGACCTGGCCTAAATGAATGAAGACATCATCTGTGATCAAAACTAGCATGATATTCGTGATCAGCACCCCGAAAAACCCCATGGCAGCCACACTACGACGTTCTAACAGGTCCTGATTTTCCCGCCTTTTGGGTCATTGACCTGACCTGGAAGGTCAACCGATGACCTAGGACCTTAAAATTGGGTATCATCGGCTTCCTCTCGTCACGGGCAACACGCTCGTTTTTTCCGCGAAGCTCTAGCTTGATCAGGAGCGAAACGGCAAGGGGTTATACCTTATACGTTCGCGGCTGGAAAAACACCAATACGGGCGAGGGTCAAGTTGAAAGTATTAATTTGGTTCAAAACGATGATGTAGATAAGTTAGTTATTTAAATCTAAATATCCTATGACGAGAGCGATGGACATTTTTGGTATGCAGTGTTATCCATTGAAAACAGGTCAAAGCTATTGAGTTTTTAATTTAGTGGTCGCCGCTTGCTAAGCATGCGGCATACACGCCGCACATAACCGCCAATGCCGCAACGCAGCTTAGATTTCGAAGTAAGCATTTAGTCTCACCCCTGAGATGTGGGTGCGCGGTGCGCACGTGTTTCGAGTGTTTCGCCGTTTGAGGGTAGAGGCCGGAGGGGTGTTGTGACTGGAGTGACTGAAAATCTTGAAATTTATGTTATTTGCGAGGACCTCAATATTACCTGACTCGTCGCGGCTTTCTGCTTTGGCTTCAGTTACCATTTGAAAGGTAAGTGCTCCCGTTCTGTGTTTCTCGCCCTGTCGCTGGAAGTTGGCACCTCGAGGGGCGCCTGACGACCTTTGACCCTGACCCACCCCCTGACCCAATGGAGGTGGTGACTGGTGACAGGGCTCGCCGCACACGCGGTTGGGTCATCCTGAGATGGGGGGGGGGGGGGGAGGAGAGATGAAGTTCATGTTTCAGGTTGAATGCATGCATTTTCAACTCCTCAAATCTCCTGCCTTCAGGTTGAGCTTTCGTGTGATTGCTGCTCCAACATGTCAGAACTTGCGAGACTGGTTACTGGTTAGGTCGTCCAACGATGCATGATGCCCACATTAGCTACATCTTCCGCCTTCCGGTTTACCAAAAATCCACTCTCCTCGAAGCGATCCGAATTCGGGTGTCATTTTTGTTGCGTGGAACGTGCGGTGTTACAAGCTGTAGGTACGTGTACCGTCCCGATGTCCAAAACCGGCCACGCGCTGTCCCGCAGGCCGGCGCGGTGATCGAATCGAGGTTGTGGAATTCCTGAATCTAATTATTCAGGTGGTGATTCGCCAATGTTTGACGTCATCGCCTTGTCTGGGCGGCGGTCATGCGATTGGCATTGACTATTCATGATTGATGCCAGTTTGATTACCCTGTGATTACAAAGCGGGATCGTTTCGGTCGGGTTCCTGGTACTCACGAGCCGTGTGAACTTTCCTCCGAGTGCTCGTGATCTAGTTTCACGTACGGCGTTATTGTCATGACATTCCCGAATCTATCACAAATGATGCCCATTGAATCAACTAGTTTGGTTTGCGGCTAGTCGTTACAAATGTTTGTGCGAACGTCCATGAGATTGGCTCAATTACTCTGTTTGGTATCCAGGTCCTACTGAACCTGCTGTTTTGATACTCGTAGTAGTGTTATGAATCATCTTATATCCTCATGCATTCTTTCACACACATTGCTGCGTTTTTTCTCAGGACGCAGTCCCAGTCTGTTGCATCCACGGACCACCGTCGACACTCCTGTTGCGCCTCCCCCCCTGCGATGTTCCATCGGTCATCGTCCCCGTCTCCGGCGGCCCGATGACCCCGCCCTGGCTGTTATATCGCTCCCCCCTCCCCCTCCCCCACGGCAACAGGTGGGGACTGCCGACGGCCGAGCCATGCTGAGCTGCGGCGGACGCTGACCGTGTGTATTTTCCGATAACGTCGAGCTGCTATCACCGCCGCCGACGCCGTTACCGACGCGACCGCTGCCGCCAATCCTCTGATCAATGGCTACCCGACACTAAGTCGGCCGACCAAATGGGAGACGTGGAAACGAACTCGCAGGCCATCCATCCAGCCGGCAGCAAAACCGGGCCCGGCGCTAAAGCAAACCGTTTGTGACACGGTCAAAACAATCGGCGGCGCGGCGGCTGCCAAGGAAATCACCGACGGGCGCGGAGACGGTTCGCAGATATTCTCTGGACGCACGGCCGCGCTGGTCCAGTCACTGACCCCAGGCATTATTACATCTCCCTCTCAAGGCTTTTGTGTCATCCTGTTCCGTCCTCACGGATTAATCAGAAACCTCTCGTTTGCCCCACTACCAGTCGCGTTTCGTACCGGTCGACCGCGTGACCTCGGCCCAGGTCGGCCCGCCCCACCGGCCCCCGGCCCGCCACCGACGCTCATTAGCACGCTCTCACGCCGCGCCGCGATTTCATATCGATGCCAGGGCCGCGCGGCATCGCGAAAGCGATCTCGTACAATGCGCGCATTGATTCGTCGTAATGGGCCACCCGCCGGGGACGGCCGGGTAATGGCCGGTCCGACCGGCGCCCGTAAGCACGGTGATTGGGCTCCATTGACTTTCAATTTCGGCCGTCGGACTGGCTGGGACGGACGGCCGTGGTGATGGCTGCCGGCCGCCAGACGGCGACTCGATACGTGTGACCACCCGGGGACGGGGGCCGCGGGGAGCCGGGACAGATGGGAGCCTGGGGAGCAGCTGGGAGCAGGCATGTCTGAGGAGCTAACGGGAGCCAGCGAGCTTGGGGGCTGATGGAAGCCAGTGGCCTACTTAGGGAGTCCGGGAGCTGAGCCGATGGGAGCCACTGGTGCTGGGAGTCTGGAGCCATGTAGGAGCTATAGTCCGCGCCGGTTCTGAGACTTGAGAGCTAACCAAACAGACATGCTCGGGGAGTCTCGCAAGAACCGAAGGTCTGGAGGGAATGGACAGAACAGCGAGGCAAGTTGGGGAGTCGGGAGGCATCAGAAGAGAGCGGAGTCAGCTGAGGGGAGGGAGAGACTCGCTGAGTTGCCGGAGAGTCAGAGGGGAGATGAGCGTGCCGCGGAGCACGGAAGGGTCGGTAGGAGAGGGCCATCGAGAAGACGGAAATGGGCAGTTCCCTGTCCCGGGCTCCTTAGTGGACGAGAGGGGCGGTCAGCAAAGGGGAACCGATAGTGGTCAGAGGAGAGCGGTGTTAGCCAGAAGAAGCCGACAGAACTCTGAGAGGGGCGGCGAGGTGGGCACTGGCCAGAACACGAGTGTTGAAAAAACGTATCCATCTCCTCGGTTTTCTGAGTTCGTACTCGACAGCTGTATGTCGGTCAGGTCAGTATACCTTATTACCAGACCAGGGTTACTTTTACAGGAAAAGTCGAGAGGGGGAATAAAGTTCGGGGCAAGGGCGGATCCAGGGGCATCTGAAAGGGGGGCCCAATGCCATTAGGTTTTTGTTAGGATGGCGCCTGCAGAACCTTACCTACCCCCAAATCCTACTCTCTCCCCGTATTCTGGCCACTTTATATTGTTAGGTTGCCGAAAAATAAATTAGCTAAAAAATATATGTAGGTACCTACCTTGGCGGTAAGGGGCGGGGGAGGTCCCAACTTGACTGCGCCCTTGCAAATGTCAATCAGTAGTATCAACCTATTACCCTGGCCAAACATCAAGTAGCGCCTTTCTAAATAGAGAGAGGTTAACACGTGACTATTTTTGCTAGGCCAAGACCGATTGAAGGAACCTGGTTCGAAGGAAGACCCTTGGTTCGGAGAGGTCATGACCCCCGTCCCCCGCCGGTTTGTACGCCGACGTCTGTAGCGATATGTCAGTGATTGCGAAGAGACGGAAAAGACAAGACAAGAGACGGTCCCACCGACCATCCGATAGGTATCGGGTCAAATCTGGAGTTCCCGCTGCACTGAACGTAAAATGGTTGGATAGAACCTCAAATTGAAAATTATCTAAGGGCCAGCAACGTTGATTGATGACTAGAGTCTGATCAACGATGATTATAGAATCTGAGTAGCGAATTGATTGAAAATGGGCTCAAAAATACATTTTAAAGGGGGAAATTCCCCCTTTCCTCACTAGCCGTTCACGCACAATTTGAGAGGGGGAGCGGAATTTTCGAAGGGGGGAAATTCCCCTTTTCCCCCTTTAAAAGTTACCCTGCTTATTACCTACTGGTGCATTCACTGCGGTCTCGTTAATATTTTCAGCCGATATCGACAAATCTGGCCCAGTTTTACGTCATGGCACATGCAAGAACGTTTTGGCATTCATTAACCCATTTCGGGGATTGCGCTGTTGGTAATTTTCGCGAAGCGGGGTGACCGGCCGAGCCCACGGCCAGGTCAGATGCGGCCCGATAGCGGCCCCGTCGCTGGCGGCCGCTCTGACCGGCTACTGACACAGGTGTGAAACGCGCCATTGATGGATCGGGTCGGCAGGCATGACTGGCTACCTAGGAACGCGTAAGGTGTTTAGCCAGAACGGTGATCACCACCCCTGCACATGATGGAATGGGCGACGGTGGCTTATTTTCGGTCTCGCTTGGTGGGCCAGGCTAAATAAAGATTAAGTTGGTTGAACGCTAACATCAGCTTTATGTCGCCTGGATCTTTCGTTCGAAAGCGGTAATTTATGCATTGCTTTTCTTACGCACACGAATTGCCCGACGCATTTCTGATATGGATTGGCAGTGCTCATTTCGTCATAATAATGAGCTTCCAATCATGCGCGCACCGTGATTGTCAGCGATACATTTCACCGGCGCGTTACAATCGACAGGCACATTAGCGTTGTCGTGACGTTTCTGCAGAGATACCCAACGCGCACGACGGGCAGTATACTTTCAGGCAGCATCCTCGTGAACCTGCCTCGTCACCGCACACCTCCCGGAAGGAGCAGCCTGGCGCCATTCACGGCAGCGGCGTCATCACTGAATGACGGTGACGTCAGCCGGCCGTCGGCGTCATCACGTCATCCGATGGCGGCTGGAGTCGTGCTCGCGGGCAGGATGATGACTCTGTTGGCTTACCTTCTCGGTCCGACTCATCGCATGGGCGGTTCACGTTTCCTCAGTGAGCGCACCTGACCGTGGCCGAGACGGGCGCCGCTCACTGGCCGTCTGTGACGTCACCGGATATCGTTTGGTGACGTCACCCGCACCGTGGGGTCAGTCATGCCACATGTGCAATGTGCATTTACAACGCTGTGTCGGCTTCTGCTGCTAGGAGATGGTCCGAGACACAGATGTTTGTGGCTGAGATAAAACGACATTTTGACGGCCTTGATTTTGATGAATATCTATTTGATGACGCCAGAAGCAGCCTCTCTAGGTATGCCCATCGCTGCACGTCAGCGTGTGTACTTGCAGATAGTTCCTGATAGTACTTATGATAGTACACCGAGCGGGTGAAGACGGTGGCACAGTCATTAACGGAGCGTCGCTGTGAGCATAGGGCTCTGCCATACCGAAGGTGTCTTTCTAAGACAGTTCTCGGCCTTGTTGAATGGTTGAAACTCGGGGAAGCGTTCCAACCTCTTTCCTGAAGACGGTCACCGAGAGGACATTGGCAGTGACTGACGGCGCGCAGGCTGCAGATCTTCCCAACAGTGGGAGCATGTGAAAGTCCTGCCAGCAGCCAGCGCAGATCGTCTGAAGATGAGGTTGACACCCGCCAGCTCGGGTCGTGTGGCCTCAATGGTGGTGTTGATGTCGCTGCTGGCTGTCAGCTTGGGCTGTAGCGAGTCTTCCATCGCCCGACTCTCGTGCTGCAAAGTTCAACCCAGCTTCGACGGGACTGAGGAAATCGTCTGTGTCTGTCCTGATCTAAAAGAGGTGAGAACCACAGTACCTACCTAAGTTACTTTGCGCTTTGTAGATGCTGCACTTAGGTTTGCGAGGGGAAGGGGAATCACAACTTTATGACCTTATAGGGGGTGATCTGGATCTTGCGAGTCATCAATCATAGTGTAATAGGTAGAAACGATGTGCGCTAAGGTGTCAGGAGGCGTTATGAACTGTGACTGTCCTTTCTGTTTTCTGTTAAAAGCCACCTTTTTATATGAACATTTGGAACATTTAGCCGTGCCCTTATGAGCGTAGCATGTCCCTGTTACTCCGCGCCCCTTAGCGCCACGGAGCGTCACGGGACCAGCAATAATAAAATTGTTAGAATACAGTAGAATCCGCTTAATAAATCCACCTTGGTGAAACGGCGTTTTGGATTTATTAAGCGGTGGCTTTATTAATCGGGGTCAGTTATGCTTCTATGGAGACATCCGTGAATAGCTCAAGTGGCCACAATAAGCGGCTGGATTTATTATCCGAGGATTTATTAAGCGGGTTCTACTGTATAATGTAAAATTGTAAAGTAACTTGTCTCTGTTTGTGTCGCTGGTTTCAGATGGTGCTGACACCAGACTCCATCCCGGAAAGCGTCACGTCTGTGAGCATCTCCAAGCTGTCCAACCTCACCATCGGTGGCGACTCGTTCTACAAGCTGAACTCACTCATCGACTTGAAGCTGCAAGACATCGGGAATGTCACTGTGGAAAGTAGTGGGCTGAACTTGCCTGAGAAAAATCAGCTGCATTATTTCTCTGCCAGAGATATTGGGTTCCTTCGCATTCACATTCACGCTTTAAAAGGGACGTGGAGGGACCTTTCAGCGACAACAATTACATTCGAGGACATCAAAAAGCTGGACATTGCCTCCAGAGGATTCAGCTATACCACCAGCCGTGATGGCCCAACCGTGATCATCCGGAATATCGCAAACCTTACATTGGCCTCAGAGGCCCTTGACGCCCGCATCAGAGAACTTCAGCTAGAAAAGGTTGTCATGCAAGAATGCTCCGAAAGAACTTTTGACAACAAGATCGGCTCCGTTAAGCTGAGCAGCGTGAACATATCAGAACTCGAAAAGCGATGTTTCCACGGAGTAGGAGAACTCGGCGTCAGTTCAACTAGTGGAGTTCACATCACCTCGAGCTCGCTGGGCACTGTACATCGAGAGGCGTTTTCTGGAAGCATGAAAAGCATTAAGCTACAGGAAAACACCGAGGTTGGAAGTGTGACTGAAAACGGATTTCAAGTGGATGTCAAGGATTTCTGCATCGAAGATTCCAAGATCGGTACCCTAAGCTCTGGAAGTCTATCGGTCACATTCATGGACACGTTTTCTGTGAAGGAAGTAGGCATCGAACATCTCCGCAAGGGCGCGTTCAGAGGCGTCAAAGCGACGCCGCATCGAACCCCTACAGTAAGCCTGGACGCCCTAGTGATCGAGAATGCAGAGCCCGGATCGTTGTCTTTCCAGCGCTGTCTGCACGTGGAGGCCTCTGACCTTGACATCCAATCGTCCGACGTGGAGAGATGTCCCACAGAACAGTGGACTCGCGGGCTAATGGGGCTTGATGCCCAGCAGAAGGTGTTTGCTGATGTGTACAGCTTATACAGTTGTTTGCACGACAGTAACAGCCCGTGCGTTAAGGATACTAAACGCTGGCAAACACTGCTTGTCGAGGACAGTTCATGCGACTACGCAACCGGGAAGGAGGATGAGAAGATCGATAGTAATGTTCATGGTCAAGAAAAAGGTGCGAATGTGGACTGGGACGATGGAGAGAAAAGTGTTGGGGATCAACAAGGATCATTCAATAGAAACGTTCAAGAAGAGAACAAAACTGACGCGAGTAAATCAAAAGGCGCTAATGAGACTCAAAGAGGCGATTTTCAAACTGAAGATGAAATCAGAAGAGAAGCGGACGCAGCGGTGGAAGACGAAACTGACATGGAGGAAAAGAAAGGCACCGGAAAGGAGAGTGACACGAGCGGAGGACAGGCGAATGACGATCGGACCAGCACTCACGAGCAAGACCCTGATGCCCGGACGCCATCAGCAAACAGCCCATTGTCTGGCCTTTGGCCAGTACTCATTGTGATTTCATTCTGGGTGTTAATTTTGGGTGGCGCTTGGTGCAGGCGGGGTAGGCCGACGCAAACCATCTATCGTCAAACAAATGCGGACTCTCAGGGTGACTTTTTGATGGGTGAACGTCCTAGAGAGAACGACGCTGTTGAACAACCAAACCAATAAGAACAGGCGGCCATGAGACGAAACACTGAGCCTGTCCTTAGAAGTGGCCGAAGTAGTTCACTGATTTATTTGAGACAATTCGAACATCAGTTGCCACCACGCGAGCCAAGGTCTCAAATAGAATAATAAGAAATTGTTCCTGGCCGGTAACCACAGGATATCGCTTCTCAGCTTTCGGCATATCAACGAGCCCGCCCCCCCCCCCATTCTAGTCTCTAGATCCTCCCGACTGAACGCTGCTCTGCCCCCCCCCTGCGTGTGAGAAACGGTGCAGGCAAGCGCAGCTTTCTGTTTCGCTTTCTGTATGTGTACGAGCATTTATGTAAGTTAGCCGCTTCAAGTAGTTATCTGATGCTCTTCCCGTGACTTGTCCAGCTTGTCTGTTTAACGTTAAGCAGCTTTATTTGCAGTTGGCTTCTGATTTATATGTGGATCGGAGATAATTTGTGATTTGTTGTGCTTGGAGTGATTGAGGCGCGGCTCAAAGTGTGCGCCTAATTAACATCCTTTCCCTTATTAAGCGATCGATGTGGCGTTCAAAATAGCCGGTGATGTTTTGGTGATTACTGATTGTTGTAGCTGTCCTTGCATCCATATTAAGCTACATGTATGTATGTAGCTATGTAGTTTAATAGTGAACAAATATGCGTTGTGATTGAGGGTATTGTAATGCTTTATTATGTGCGTATATATATTATATATATATATATATATATATATATATATATATATATATATATATATATATATATATATATATATATATTTGATATGGCCAAATTAACCATCAATAAAATGCAAACCTCTCTGTTAGCTGTTAGTTTTATTTCGCTCGAAAGCTTGAATGGCGACATGGATCCGCGTGCCGCCAAATACTTATTGTTTTTTTTTTTAACTCTCGCCCACACATGGGGGGGGGGAGAGGTGGTTGCCGCCCCCCCCCCCCCCATGTATTTTTTCTGCTCTGCACTCAACATTTTTAGAGCTAGAAGCCTGATTTGTCGTATAGTTGCTCCTCTACTGTTCGCCAGATCCCTTGAGACCCTAATTTTTCGCGATTATTTTTAAATGCGTGGAGGAATTTCAACCAAGCTCAGGACATGGCCGTTTCAAGACAGGCCGAAACTTTTACAATTTAGATATTTTATCGCCATTTCAATATTTCAGGCACTTGTCATTGACTCGTAATGTTAACTGTTTTTCCATCCTGGATAGAGGCTTTCTACGTCATATGACATTAGGCTCCGCCCACGACTGCGGCATTGACCCGTGCCCATCAGCGACCTCTGTACAAACGACACCCCTGCCATCTGTGAAGGACTATGAATTTCGCTGACGCTTCACGTGCTATGAGTCAATTGCAGCAGACGGTCAAGTAAATGTTAGGCTCTTGTTGACTCTTGTATATAGGACCAAGAGGACCATCACTCCTCAACCTACTACTCAGTCGTGCTTCGAACAAACGTTAACGATTCCTAACAAATACGATTTTCGATGTAGGGTATCTGTTTGAAATACGAGCGAGCCGTATGATGTGAAGCTCAGGCAATTAACTTATTATTGCGTTGTTCGATGGTTGCATAGCGATGTACCTACAAATCGGCAGCTACTTGGTGACATCCGACATCCCATTATCGCATTATCTGCAACGCCATAGGCTTTAAATACAGGTGAATATTTCCTAACCTTATGTCAGTTATATGCCATCTGCCCGTCATATGCAGCTTATAAAAAAAAATATATCAGCGAACATATCAGCATTGTAGAAGCAATGCGCATTGAGCATTTATGACTCCTTAGTCATCATGTCGCTCTCTGGGCACTGTCAGCCAAGACGCTACGCACAACTCCGCCGGCTTTCGGCACCGCTCGACCGTCGCCCGTCCCCGCTCCCCGCCACAGCGAGAGTGACCGCGCGCCGGCCCGAAACCGCCGCAGGCCAAGACCACAGAGGCGGGGCTTAGCTGTGACGTCATAACGTATCACAGACTGACTGGTGATAGCCTCTACACACCGGATGAAAATCTTGCTCGAAATTTAACATTACGAGTCAATGACAAGTGCCTGAAATATTGAAATGGCGATAAAATATCTAAATTGTAAAAGTTTCGGCCTGTCTTGAAACGGCCATGTCCTGAGCTTGGTTGAAATTCCTTCACGCATTTAAAAGTAATCGCGAAAAATTAGGGTCTCAAGGGGTCTGGCGTTAACAGTAGGCTCTATCCTTTCTTGATGCTCACTGAAAATTTCAAGTTTCTGTAGTTCTTGGTTTCGGAGATATGACCTTGTTCTTCAGGTCATGTCATGACCCAAATGAAAAATACCTAATATCTTGCGTTGGCTATGGGTCTTGTGAGCTTTTGACACCTTGATTTCGGCCTTTTTTGCCAGTCTTACCTCCCACCTGTCATGGAACATGTTGTTCGACGATGTACAGATGTCAAGGTCAGGGTTAAGGTCAACCTAGCTCATCTAAGATAATTGCGTTTTAGGCAAGCTGAATTTACTTTTCGTGAAGTTTCTTTGACTATATTTTTGGTAAAACCTTCTCGTTTCATGACCTCATGTAATATGGACACATAAACAATCGGTGCACACATCAGTATACACACAGACACACACACAGACATACAAACACACTGGTGGATCCAGGGGGGGGGGGGCGGCAGGGGCTAAAGCCCCCCATTCGAAACTCGACAGGGGCGGCAATATGAATTAGCCCCCCCCCCCAAATGCACCGGAATTGGTCATTAAAATGATTGATTGCTGGTAAGTTCCAGCCTTCAATAATGAAGTTCCTTTAGAAACTCCTTTCCGCTGTTAAGTTGGTAGCGATTTGGCAGTTATTCAAGGATGGAAAAGTGGCGCCCAACTGACTTTCAGCGTCGGAGATTTATCCTAGGTAAAGTTTTTTGGGACACCCTGTACAATTGTGACAGATTGCAGGTGTAAAATGACCATCGACGCAAATGCTTACTGTCAGTAAAATTGGAAGTGGGAAATAGCTCTTAATAAATGGGGATGAGAGTAGGTACAAAGTAATTTTCATTTGGATGTCAGTTCGCACCCAAATCGACAAATTTTGGGATACTGCTGTGACCTGGACTGGAAGGTCAACCAATGACCAAGAACCCTAAAATCGGGTACCATCGGCTTCCTCTCGTTACTCACGGGCGACACGCTTGTTTTTTCCGCGAAGCTCTAGCTTGATCAGGGGCCGAACGGCAGGGGTGTCCAACCGACACCTCCCAGCCCGCGAAGGCTGCGCCAAGCACCGACCCGAAGTGGGCTAACTGGTCAACAAAAGCAATTTTAACCCGCGCCCCGTAGGGGGGGCCGAAACGCCCCCCCCCCTTGTCCTTTTCCGCCGATATCTCCTAAACGGCTGGAGATATCGCCACCAAGCTTTCAGGACCCCTCCGGCATCAATTTTACACATTGTGATCAACAAATTTTCCAGAGGCTATGATAGGTTGGCCACAAATGACGTCAGAATGACGTCATGTTCTGCCATTTTCGACCGAAAAAAGACCTTCGCGAGAAGAGCTGTCAGGCCTACAGCTTTAAAGATACAGAAAAATGATCAAGACATAAAAGGTGTAGAATTGACAGGGCTACAAAACTGTTATCTCGGATTTTGAAATTTTTGAGTTTGGACCCCAAAAATCAAAATGCAATTTTTTGGATATATTAACCAAAAAATCCAAAAAGTTTTTTGAGTTTCGAAAAAACCGGAATATATGTGATAGTATCAACCGTCTTCTATCTACATACCAACTTTCAGATCGATACCTCGTTTTTTGGCAAAGTTATAGCGTAAAAACTGTTCAAAAATGATGACGTCAAATTGTCAAACTCAATTTTTGGCAATTCTAGACCTCGTAGAGCAAAACAAAGACCACCATTAGACTCCCCGTGACGAGCTGCATCGAATCGATACCCATTTTATGCAAAAATATCAACTTTGAAATTTGACCTAATTAGACCTGACATTGACCTGACCTTCACCAAAACTTGACCTTGGCTGGCCCCAAAGGCTGCCTAACCCACATAATCGCATTTGTCATGTAAAATGGACCATAAAACATGTATCACACGACACTTTCATTTTGTGACCCCCAGTGACCTGACCTCTGTGACATGACCTGGTATCAGTGACCTCAGATAGCGAAGTATGTGTTTGACGAACAATGTACCATCGATGGTTTCCAATAAATTACTAAATTAATTAATAAAATAAATTGGCTGTGAGCCGCTGTCACCGTCATGCAGACACCGTCACCGTCGTTCACCGTCACAGACTTTGTCACCGTCACTGTCACCGTCAAAGACATCGTCATCGTCACCGCGACGTTTCGGCCCGGTCGGCCATCGACCGCGGTTCTGTCACGGGCCGTGCAGCTGGGCACGGCGGCTGGCTCACGGCCCATGCAGCTGGACACGGTGCGTGCCGGGGCCCGTGCGTGTCACCCGGCACTAAAACCGACCTTTGGCTGCGGAACCGGCTGGCCGACGCGCCGAGCAGCGCCCCAGTCGCCGCCGGTGATGATACATGGCTCCGGACGGCGGCAGCGACGCGGGGCTGACGGTGGTGGCGGTAGCGAATGGTAGCAGCAATGGTAGCCGTAGCGATGGAGGTAGGGACGCGGTCAGGCACGCACACAGGATTTTTGAATGAGAGGGGCACGACCTGCGAACTGAGCCCCCCATGCCGAAGGCCCCCCCCAAAAAAAAAGTTCTGCCTACGGGGTTATATTTCGGTTGGTTTGAAGCTTGAGCTTTTGTCAATGCATGGTAAAACAATTTTTTTTCGGTATCAGCTTAATTTTCAGAACATTTATATTTTTACGCTAGCATATTTTATTCAAATGCGACTCAGGGCCGGTACAAATTCCTAATCATCTGTAGCACGCTACATCTTGACCATCTAACGTAGTATCTTTTCGGCACGGCCGGCCCGGTGACGCGCAGCTGAGCAGAGCGCTGCCGCACGCTTCCCTCCCTTGTCATTATTCCCTCCCTCCTCCCACCCGTCCCCAGGTCCACCCTCCCCAATCATTTCTCACTGTCCGCACAGAATGGGCCGCCATTAAACTCCAATTAAGACAAGCACCTCTGAAGACAGTCACATCAGGATGAGTCATTGGTAGTCATTACAAAGCAGCTGAAGCTACAAGCAAACGTCGGCACACTGTGAGACCACGCGCAGGCTTAAGGCACGTAGCACATTGGGTCTCACGTAGCCATGGTAGCACAACAGTGCGTCTCACTGCAACGGAATCTGCTAAACTTAGCAAACAGCCTCCGAAACAGACGTAGTTCAGGACGTCTCCACTGCGGACAGAAAGCGCTGTTGTCCGAAACAAACGTAGTTCAGCGGTGCGAGCGACTTTAGCGAGTGTCATTTGAGCGAACGTCATTTGAGCGAACCATTTTCAGCGAATGTCAATTCAGCGATTATCAAGTTAAGCGATTATCAAATATAGCGATTATCAATTTTAGCGAAAGCTATGTTTCAGCGACATCTATTTCGTCGACTACAATTTGAGCGACTGTCATTTCAGCGAAACACTTCATCGTCCCGTAACGGTGTATTTGTTTTTTACTTTTGCGAGCGTACGTACAACCAATGTAATTCCGGAACTTTTCATGGTTATCCGGAACTGGATGGCGGATGTCACGTTCAAAGTTCAGACATTA